TGCCACGTGTAAGTCTCTTTTAATTAGAAGTTATATACTTTTTTTTTAAAAAAAAAACACATGTTTTACTACAAATAAGGATTAGTTACATTTCAAACGAATGGATATATTAATTCAAATTCAAATGTCCAATCGTATAGTTTTGCAGGCTTAATATAAACAAAAAATAAAAATACCTAAATCCAGCAATTAAGAATAATGCCTTATAAACTAATTATTTATTATTCCCTTATAACCTCAGATTTATAGGTATATTTTTTTAAGCCCCAAATCATAGCATAAATGATATATACGCCAAAATTAATTCCTCAAAAAATAATAATTCAATTAGATTTTAATAAAATAGTAATTTAGAAGGGGCGCCCGGGCATCTGTCTGGGCCAAACATCTAGTTTGTTTTAAGAGCGAAAAGAAAAATTAAATTAAACAATTATTCCCTCTGTCCCAAAATTATTGTCTAGTTTAAAATTTCACTTTTAGTACAATTTAAACTAGAAGTAAAAATTTAAATTGGACAATAATTGATAATAATTATGGGACGGAGGGAGTATTTTTCTTTTCAAGAAAAATCATCGGACATTCATCACGAACCCCGATCACCTGCCAATATCATCCCGTAGGATCCCATCAAATAGGTAACCCTGCCGCCATTTTATCTGCAGACACAAAAATTCGAACAGACTAAATATCCTAGGCTACCGACATCATATTCTGAGTATGGTGATTGGTGGAGGAAGCTCTCATATATCATAGGTTGTCCCTTGGGACTTGGGAGATGCTATAAAGGCTGAATTTGATTGGCTCACTCATCCAAAAATTTTTTTCCCATGAGATTAACACAAAAATAATTACTCTGTCTAGACAATTATTTCAGAACGAAAGATTTGGCATAGTTAACACCGACCACACAGCAAGTCACTATGGACTTGTTTGACCAATATTTTGTTTTAATTTTTTATTTGGGTTTGAGATGTGATTTGAGAGAAAAATTTAAAAAATTATTTGGATAATATTTTAAATAAGATAATAATATTTTTAGACCACCATCAAAGCACCTCCATCAGTGCCACCGCCGGATTGCCCAAATTCCGACCATATCGCCGGAATCTGGTCGGTCGCCGGTCGGTGGGCGGTTCGACAGCGGACAGTAGCGGCAGAGGTGGTCCGGTGGTAGTGTAAAAAAATGGTGTAAAAATAATGTTTGAAATAAATTTTAAAAAGTAAATTAAAAAGTTGTTTGGATAGTATTAGGTTTTGTCTTTGAGATGTGTGTTTAAGAGGTAAAATGAGACAAATGCAAAATAAATTATTGACCAAATTGTAATTGGAAGGATCGAAATTTGTGGAACTTATATTGAATATTATATATACTAGTGATGTCCTCAGTATGTCTGTAATTTTTTGTCAATAACAAATGATAATAGTTTGCCGATTCCAAAAATACTTGTACAGTGACCATTAAAATGTTGGAAAATTTGGCTACGAATAGCAGCAGTACCTAGTGGCAATTGTAGTGCTAACGATAGCGAGAGCGACACCTCAAACAAAGCTATAGGAATAAATAAAAAATCAGAATTAGTAAAAGCAAAAACTTATGAGAACAAATTTATTTTAAAGTATGCAAACGGATGGCATATACAAATAAATCAATATATTATATTAAAATACCTATAGCTGATATTAAAACACCTATAGTTGACAACTACAGGTATGGTAATGGCAAAAAACAACAACACATCAAGAAGAAAGATGAAGATAATTTTTTATTGTTTTTGGTTTGAGGTTTATTATATATATATATATATATGTAGAAGATAAAAGGAAATTTTTTTGGAGATGTGAACTTGACGGATACATTGGTGGAGGTTGAACTTTTATCTAATTAGAATCACCTGCTAGTAATTTAGGGCTATTAGGAATTTTATTTTGGCCGTGGAAAGGAGAAATTGCTGAAGAAGCCGTAAAAGTATTTGAAGAGGAGTGTGTTGCCGTAGTTTTGAGTTGGAGGTGGGAGAAATGAAGTTGGCAGCATCTAACATTTGTAGTATTTTATTTATATTCTACTTCAAACTTATTCCTGTTCAATTAATATATTAATTCAATCATATACAATGTAATTTAATTTAGTTTATCACACTCTTTATCACCGATCAATTAGTAGTATTCAACTCAATCTTACACGTATAGATTTTTTAAAAAAGCTGATGTCGAAAAAACTATATGGATTTTTTTTAAGGATCTGATGTGAAAAAAACTTGTTAAAAAAGGAAAGTAATTTTTTTGTTTATTTTTTTTGTAATTTTTTATTTTTGGGATTTATTATTGGTATTTGTTGAATTGGGATACGAAGATGAATAGTAAAGAAAAGGAATTTTCTTTTTTGGTCGTGGGAGACATGGAGCAATTTTTTGTTGTGCGTGATCTAAATTTGCTTATGAAATAGTTGATGTGATATATGTTATTTTAAAAACTTGGTGTGTTTTTTTTTTAAGGTTGATGTTTGTTCTTTTAAAAATTTTTTTGGAACAATTAGATGGAAATGTCTCATGGCAATTAATGGGAAGCTCTTTGAAGTGTGGTTTTTACTTCTTATAAAATAATATATATATATATATATATATATATATATAGATATATATGTTGGTAGTTGAGTTATAACCACTCGTGAAATTCATAGTTCCACGTTGTTGCATTCTTGTCCATTCCACAAACTGCAATCTTTTATTATACATGCAATGCACGTCTCTAACAAAATAGTGATGAGCTCACACTTCTGGTTCCCGAATCCGAGAGATTTGGTATAATATTTTACAGCTGAGTCGAATTAGAAAAGTTTGTCGTTCATAACAGTGTCGTACTCTCGTTGTGTTAAAATTATTGTCCAATTTGTATTTTTACTTTTAGTATATTCGAACTAAAAAAATGAACCTAAATTGAATATCATTACAGAAACAATATTTGAATTGTGAAAACCTCAAATTTTTCATCATCCGCTGACGGCTAAAACATTGATATTCTTTTTTTTATCCTAAAAGAATAGTTCGCATTCTAACTTATATACAAATTTCAACCTAGATTATATTTCTAGGATGGAGATTTTCTATTTCTTGAATGATGTCTTATTTTATACGACTCATAAGAAAGAAACTAATAAGCTTTATGTTCATGAATACTTAGAAGATATTTTTTCTATTACGAAATTCTTGTTCAGTTTGGATTTTCATTTTTAATTCACCAATTTATGGTTTTACTTTTACTATAATTTGAACTAAAAAAGAAAAATCTAAATTAAATAATAATTTCGGGACGGAATGAGTATTCAAAATCTTATGAATAAATTTGGTCGAATGAAAATTACATGTATTACAAGCACGAAAAAGACATCTCGCTAAAGTATCTGAGCTAAAAGAAAAATAAATCTTCAAAAAAAAAAAAAAGAAGAAAAAAGCAAATTAACAATGAATAATTTTTCTTGTTAATTTGTGAGTAAACAGCTCCATGAATGAGACTGATCATCGATCATCGTATTTTCGATTTCTCCTCCACACACTTGACGAAGTTTCGGATCATGTAAAAACTGTACACAGTAAAAGGGACCACGGTATTACATTGAAAATAAAGCAAAGCACCAAACGCAAATATGGTTTGTACTACTTGTAGTAGAAAGATCCTTCACGGCATGGTCTTCAGCCCGACAGGACTTTGTTTCATCATTCATTTCTTGTTCTTTTTCGGTTTTTCCTCTTATCATTATTCTTGGGAAGAATCCACAGTCTAATTCTCCAGAAAACTATAAATTCTTCAATCTCTGGGCTATTATTAAACACTTTTGCCAGTGAGATTCATCAAATCTCCACCCCCCCCCCCAAAAAAAAAAAAAAGCTTTTTCTTTGCACTAAAATCCTTAGGATTCGTAAAAAAAGATGACTGTTTTGATGAAGAAAGAGCATATTGTGATGCTGCCATTCTTGGCTCAAGGCCATATCATTCCTTTCTTAGGTTTAGCCAGGAAAATCCAACAAAGATTTGGGTTCAAAATCACTCTAGCTTCCACCCCTTTGAACATCAAGTACCTGGAAAACACCATTTCAAAGGACCCATCTTCACAAAACTCAGACATTCACTTGGAATCTCTCCCTTTCAATGGCGTTAGCCATGGTTTGCCGCCCAATACAGAGAACACTGAGGCCTTACCTTTGGACAAAATCATTACCCTTTTTCACGCTTCCTGCAGCCTTGATGAACCCTTTAGGAATTTCATCTCGGAGATCATAAACAAGGAAGGAAATCCTCCATTATGCATAATTGCTGATATTTTTGCAGGGTGGTCGGTTAATGTTGCAGAGGATTTTGGTTCAGTCCATGTGAGTTTCACCACTGGTGGTTCTTTTGGCACTGCAGGTTACATTTCAATCTGGCAAAATCTCCCCCACAAGAACCGTTCTCCAGGGGAAGATGAATTTCAAGTTCCGGGTTTTCCAGATTCTTGCAGGTTCCACATCACACATTTACATCGGTTTCTTCAAGCTGCAGATGGAACAGATGAATGGTCCAAGTTTTTTCAGCCCCAAATATCAAAAGCCCTGAAATCTTTTGGTTGGTTATGCAATTCTGTGGAGGAGATTGAGCCTTTAGGATTAGATGTACTAAGAAAGTACACAAAACTTCCAATTTGGTGCATTGGACCACTCCTTCCACAGAGAATGCTGAGTGACAAAAATTCAGATGATCAATCCAGAATCATCAGTCAGCACAGTGGAAGAGAACCAGGTTTACCAGCTGAAAGGTGCATAGAATGGCTAGATTCACATACAGATTGCTCTATTCTTTACATTTCTTTTGGTTCCCAAAACAGCATTAGTCCTTCTCAGATGATGGCATTAGCCATGGGTTTAGAAGACAGTGGAAAACCATTTCTCTGGACGATTAGGCCTCCAGTTGGGTTTGATCCAAAAGGGGAATTCAGATCAGAATGGTTACCAGAAGGGTTTGAAGAAAGAATGGCCAGAACAAATCAAGGCTTGCTAGTGCATAAATGGGCACCCCAGTTGGATATCCTGAGTCACAAATCAATTGCAGCATTTTTGAGCCATTGTGGGTGGAATTCAATCATTGAGAGCTTAAGCCAAGGAGTTCCAATCATTGGGTGGCCAATTGCAGCTGAACAAGGCTACAATTCGAAGATGTTAATCGAGGATATGGGGGTTGGTGTGGAAATATGCAGGGGATTGCAGAGGAATCTGGATAAGGAAGATGTGAAGAATATTGTAACAATGGTTCTTGATAATCAAGAAGGAAAAGGGCAAGAAATGAAGAAAAAAGCGCTTGAGATTGGGAAATTGATGAGGGATTCTGTCAAGGAAGATGAAGGATTCAAGGGTTCTTCAATCAAGGCCATGGATGATTTCATTTCTGCAGTTTTATCCAAGAAGGCAAAAAGTTGAAAACTGCATTTGGATTTGAACAAATTCTTATTGCAAGCATTATGTTAGTGTTTTGAAGATTGAATAATTTCTGCGCAATTGACTGGTGGAGTGACGATTTCCATTGAATTCGGTCCACAATGCATTCTAATCTTTCTTTATGGTTTCTTTTCTACTGCAGTACAGTATCAAAAAGATAGTTGATTAGAAGATTCATCGAGAGAAAATTGAACTTAGACAATAAAAATTACTTCTCCGTCCAAAAAAAAAGTCTACATTGAATATTGAGTTTTGTCATTTTCAAAAAAAAAAAGTTTTGAGTTTTGTACTATTTTTAGTATAAATTTGTAAATTCAATGTGGATTATTTTTTTCTGGGATGGAGATAGTATTTTTTTAAAAAACTACAGCCGCAACATTAACAAAACATTCATCCAGAGAGAATAAGCAAAACCAAGCTAGGAGTTTCATGTTCTTCTATAGTCATCCTTTGAGGCTTTTACATCTTATGGACTAGTTTTAAAAATGGCCCATAGGTTCAATCCCAATGGAAACTTTCTCCAATGTAGTTGAATTTTTCGTTTCAAGCATATACTATATGGCTGCATGATCATTAAGCCTACATAGCCAGAATCAAATTAACTCCAGCAATTTTTTTTCCCTTAGTACAAATGACTCCACCAGCTTTTGCTATCAAATCCAAATGGGTGATTGGAATATTTCATATGAATTTGATCAATTAGTCATTAATAATCTTTTTCTATGTTTCTCTTCTAAGCGCTTGTTTGAAATTAAAGGACAAGAAAACTGTATTGCGTCATGTATGTGCAGTCGACTACCAGTATTTTTTTAAAATTTTTTTTTAATGCTTAATGTAATATTTAAAATAAAAAATATAACATACCCAATGGCAATAATTGCTGTTACTAGAACGGTAGCGGAATAGGTGCCATTTGCAATTTGTTTGGTGGTGACGCAAAATGGAAGGAACAAATTAAAAGATTGATGTCGTCAAACAAGACTAAAGGGATGGATGACTACTAGTTTTTTTTTAAGTGATTTCTTTTTTCCTTATACTTAAATAAAAGGCACAATAAACAAAAAATAATACCCAAAAAATATTAAGGACTACCGTCAAAGCGATCTCATCCGTCGGATGGGGTTGATATGACGTCAGCGACTTATTAGGGGTAAAAACAAAAATTCATAATTTCGGTTTTCCACTAATAATTAGTAAGAAATTTGGGGAAAAAAACCCTAGCTATCAAAAATAAAAATAAGAAGTAATAACGAGATCCTTTTGTCCGTCTTCCTTCCCAAACTGAAACTCGTACATAAAGCAAAAATCTTACCCCCCGTTGTTCTCAACCTCTGCGAATTTATGCCGATAGTCGATGCTTCTCTCCGCTCTCTTTTACTCTCTTCTCTTGAATTCGTCTTCCAGTTGATTCTACTTGCTCCTATCTTCGATCCAGAAGCACCCTCGAACAAGATTCGGAGTCAATTGCTTTGCGCCTTCAGAGATTTTGATGTATAACCGCTCTTATATCTAAAATTACTCTTAAAGGTATGAAGCTTCTGTAGCTCTGAATAGTTGTCCAATTTCAAAAGCTGATAATTCAGACATTGAAGCAACAGAGGGAGTTTACTGACATGGTGCTTTTGTTCTGCTATCTTTACAAAAAGTTGGCCTTAATTTTTCTAGAGGCATTGAATCTGATTTATTTTGACTATTATATTATAGTTTGGCTATGTATATTCATCATAATTTGCATATTTGAGTGGATAACAAAGCAATATTTGGAACGAAAACTGCACTTGGGACTTCCGGATTTAAATCTTACTCAGTCCAAAGAACACTGCACAAACTAAAGCAGTGAAATTTATGTAAAACCTGCCAACTGGTGAGGGAGAAGAAAACGAAAACAATAAACCCCATTAAAATTCTGATTTTTTGAGTTAAAACTGAAGCCGCATGTTGCCAATTATGGGAAAACACCAATCGAAATCATCGAGGCCAGCTCAATTCGATCCAACTTCAGGGAAGGAGATGTATATTATTTTTATGCTTATACTCTGTACATGTTTATCGATTTGGGTCTTTGGTGTTGTTATGTTTGGAGTGGACTGACTCTATATGCTAGGTCATACTTGCGCCTGGAATTAGCTCTGAATACCATTTCAAATTTATTTTGGTTAAAGGCAATACGCTGTTCTTGATCACTAGACCATGCCCTCAGTTTGTCTACAAGAACATTGTCTTGGGTTCTGTGCTTGAAGGTTAGTCCGGTTGTACTTTCTCTTTTCTTCATGCGTTTCAAGTTTCTTGTTTATTTATGTTGAATCCCAGCAACAGATATTTCCAATTAGGATTAACTCAATTTATTCTGTTCTGGCATTTAATAAGTTTTGACGTAAGTAATTTGAATTCAACTTTCATATATAATACTAACTCAAGTAGTTTTATGTATTATAAATCCATTAAACTACAACTCATTACAAGATGGACTACTAGATACATGTTGTGTCTTCCATATTTGTGGACTTTCATACTCATTCTCTGATTTTGTTGTAATTTTCTGCCCTGATATGGTCTTTGGCACTGAAGGTAGTGCAAGCGGCCATTGGGTGAAGGCTTGCAAGTATTCTTTTTTCAGAATATAGTTTCTGCTTCTTTACTTAATCGGCAAAGAGATTATGAACTGAGTTAAGTTTGTAGATAGTTCATGTTTGTCCCATTTTATTTTTACCTATTTTATGACACTCTCATTTTATGAACTGAGGTAATGCTTATTTTACTTCCATTGTTTTCTTTATCTGGTTTCCTTTTATTTATTATACCTGAATTTTTGCTGTAAATAATAATTCTATTACTCAAATTCGATATTTTGCCTCCTCTCACACAGACTCAGTCAGCATCTCCAAGCCATCAGATTCTTCTTCTGGTTCTTTTTCCCTTCCTGTGACATTTAGAAAAATATTTATGTGCTATCATCATCACTCAATCTGGAATGAAGTTTCAACAGATGTTATACTTTTCAAACATGGATGTTTTATGCTAAATTCTGATGGAGTTCAGGGGTTTAGATTATAGGATTGAGTGCATTATTTGCTAGATGGTTTAACCTATGAGGCTTTTAGTTCATGATTTTAGTGACGAAGTAATTTCCAGTTTGAGATTGGATTTGGCAATTTTGGTTTTGGGGATCAACTTTTATGGTCTTTCAACTTTAAGTTAGATGTTATGCATGTATAGATGTGTTCGAACTTGATTTTGTCTGACTTTTCATTTTTCGAGGGAATAAATTCATTTTAACTGTCAGCTTGATTGTCTTTCCGCGTTTGAAAACAATAGTTTTTCTTTTAATCATTTTTTTCCAATGTTATGGAGTATAGGGATGATATGGACCAAATCATGCGCTACTGGTGTGTGTTGTGGCATAATTCTTGCTTGCTTGTAATTATTGTATTTCTTAAAATTGCTCTGGTTCTTGTTTGCTGGAAAATAATACAAATCTAGGTCTTTATTTTCATAGATATTTTATTTTCTCAATAACATTTATCCCATATTATTTAGTTAGTTTAGCACTTTTAGCTTCTCCAGTTACTTCTAGCCAGTATATTACTTTGCACCCAAATTATGTGTACATTAGTTAGATTTGTTTTGCTGCTATGATGGAATTGGGCTCTCCACTCCATTTTCTAATCTGGGATTTTCCGTCCTTTTCATTTGAACAAAAATTTGATTTATTGAAGTAAGCTTGTGATTTTTTTTCTTGCTGCTGCTTCTTGTTTTTGAAACCTACTCTTTGTAGGTGAATATAAGCTGTCATAGGGATAAAAAAAGATCTGTACAAGAAGGGTTGTAGTATGCCCGGATGAGCATAACTGATGTTATTGGCAATGGAAGAACAAGGGTTCTTTATCGGCTTCTATGAATAGCAATGGATTCACCCTTCTTCTCTTGGGTTAGAAGAACGAAGAAAAGCTCATGAGAGTGGTTCCATGCAATAAGTACCACTTAGTAAATCAAAGAACCAATCCTGAACTCCACCTGGCTTTTGGAAAGAAAATATTTTCCTTGTGTGCGCCTCTTTTGTGTGCTTTGGTCGCTGCCACCGAACGTGAGAGCCCTTCTCCCTTTAAAGCTGGTGCTTGAAGAGCTTAAAGCTAAAGCGGCTAAAGGGAGCCCTTGACACATGGGGCTAAAGAAGAGTGGAAAGAAGTGAACTTGCAACATATGGTCTTTGATTCAACCTGCCCTTATTCAGTTAAATTGAGATAAGAAAATGTGTTGCTATGTTGGATTTATCTAGACTCTTGATATTTCTGAGATGTGGATTTAAGTTCTTTCAGACATTTCTTGATATTTTTTAATCAAGCCAAATTTCAAATGTCACTTAGTTTTTAAGATTACTCCGTAAATAGTATGACCCCCACTCACCGTCGAAGCTACCCTCCCTTCATTTTTACACTCCTAGCCGCCCAACCCCCTCACCATCAACATGTGATTATGCCCTATACCAAAATAGCACAACGATTAGGAAATTACTAACTGAATTTTGATTTATATTCGGATCTAAACAAAAGCTACTAGATGCTACAAAGAGCATAGTAGATTCTATGTAAATGATGACCAAGTTAACACTTTTTGTGCACACTTTCCTGAAAGAAGTTTTATGAAAATGAAGACCAAGTTAAGATTTTTTGTGCGGACTTTCCTGAAAGAATTAAACGATCTTTTAGATGTAAATTTGCATTATGGGTGATCGGGTGATTGAGATTCCGCATTGGAGATGACAAACTTGATGGATCTTAGCTATTAAAAAGGCATGAAAGAATACATTCATTGACACTATTAAGCGTAAAGAGAAAAATTTCAAAAAATTTGGATTATACCAAAATTCATACAATCAACAGAGCAAAAGAATATTCATGTGCACTGGTCGCGCAACGCGCGACACGTAAAAGACTAGTTTTGGTGAAAAGGTAAATATTATATTGATAAAACACCAAAAAAGTACAGAAGTCACTTCTCAAACTGCATACTTTCTGCACTACCTACCTCTACAGTCTGTTTATATACAAATCTATTACATTCAACCAGCAAAGCTCAACTAAATCAGCACTGTTCTATGAAATCAGAAGCTCTTTATCCCAATGCACAACTTCAAGTTCACTTCAGACCCTTTTATTGATAAAAACAATTCTGACAGAATCTGACACTCCTTCAACGTCAATCTCTTTCCTTTCCAGCAGTAGAATCTGCTTTTAATCTCCTGCCTAATCACCTGTAAAATCTCTTTAGTCCCCCTCTGAGCTTGTGGATGGAGTCTTCTATTCCGCTCCTTTCAAATATGATAGACACAGGCTGCAAAACATTCTGTTACCCTACCACATACAAATCAGTTGCTTCTTCCATCTGTCAGTATTTTCATCCAATCTCTTACATCCCAGCCACCTTCTCATTCTATTCAAGAATTATTTGGAAAAGACTCACTGAAAAAACAAGTGGTCTATCGATTCATTCTCAGTCAAGCACAATACACAGCAGGATCAGGCACAGAAAGCTGAATCATGCTCAATCTATCCCTGGTCAGTAAGTGTTGCCTCCATGCCAGCCAGAAAATAAATGCATGCTTGGGGATATTTCTGCTAGACCATATGCAGTTAGCACCATTCATTCGTTCCCCCCGAGTTTACCATCCATTTATATTCTGATGAAAAAGAATATCCGCCATTGCTACTAGCTTTCCAACGATTCCCTTCAAAACCCTCTTTGGTTATATCCCGTATTTTCAGAATTTGCTTCTAGGCCCAGCTCGAATCACTTTTAACTTGCACCTCCCAGAAAGACTGGTTTTTGATATCAACAGCATGTATCCACTCTACCCATAACGTGTCTTTCTTCAAAACTAAAGACCAAACTTGCTTTAAAATGGCAGCCCTATTTTAGCATCTCTCCAGGCCCCCTTCACCTTTATCCCTACACACATCCTCCCACTTAACTAAAGCAATGGCTCGTTTATCAGTTCTGTAACCCCATAAGAAGTCTTTGCAAATCCTATTTACTTCACTTGTAACGCTTTAAAGCAGAATGAATATAGATCCCCAGTAAGTATGTATTGCCATTAAAACAGAATTAATCAACATCAACCCGGCAGCATATGACAAGTGACGCGTACTCCAGCACTTTATACGAGCCATTATTCTATTAACAATCTCTTGACATTCTACCTGGGACCAGAAAGTGATACTCCTAAGTATTTCATTAGTAATATGACAGATTTCCTTCATTGTTTGTTCAACAAAACCACCAAAGTAAATTGAGGATTTTTCCAGGTTTGCTACTAATCCATTGGCTTCTGAAAACTTCTCAAAAGCTTGCATGAATTTAGTAACTGTACGTATATCTGTTTTGTTGAATAGCATTAGATCATCAGCAAAACAGATATTCGTCAGTTGCAAGCTTTTGCATTTAGAGTGAAATTTAAAACCAGTATGGTGCTACTCTCTTCAAACTCCTTGTCAGGTACTCCATTACTAAAACAAACAATAACAGGGATATTGGATCCCCTGTCTAATCCCCCGCTTTCCACGAAAAAACTCAGTACATCCCCCATTCAATGATAACGTAAATGAGGGAGTGGACACACATTCCATTATACAGCATCTAAATTGCTCCGGGAAACCATACCCTAGAAACATTTCCTCTATGAACCCCCACTCTATCGAGTCATATGCTTTTTTCAAGTCAACTTTCATCATAACTCTCCCACTAACCCTCTTTTTCCTATACAACCTAATCTAACTCTTGGGTGATAAGTATATTATGCATCAACTAGGAAAGGCAATACAACCTTTAATCTATTATAAAGAATCCGAGAAATACACTTATAGATTACATTACAACATGCTATCGGTCTAAATTGGCTAGCATGCATAGGGGACTCAACTTTAGGAATAAGAGCAAGGATAGTGCAGTTGATTTGTTTTAGTACCTGGTTTGATGAAAAGAACTCCAGCACTGCTCCTATAACATCATCTTCTACCACTGTCCATGCAGTCTTGAAAAAGCCAGAGCCATAGCCATCGGGTCCCGGACTTTTGTTCTCATTCATCTTCTAGATTGCAGCCTTTACCTCCTTTTTAATTACTGGTTTGATCATTCTAGCTTGCTGTTCCACTGTAAGCACTGATCCCAACTTAAACACTTCTTTTTCCGTTGGACGTCTTTCAGAAGCTTGCCCCAACAGCTTCTTGTAGAAAAGTGTTCTTCTATTCCTTTCAGGTCCCTTACTTCTTCACCCACTTTATTCTGCACTGCCCAAATTTTATTCTTCAAAACTCTAATTTTCAGTTTAGAGTGAAACAACTTGGTATTTTCATCTCCTTCTCCAATCCATTGTTCCTTCGCTTTTTGTTGTAGAAAACTCAGAAGTTACACATTCGGTCGGTTGAGAGAAGCTGGAAAAAATAATAAAAATGAACCAATGAGTAATGTCAATACAAGTTGTCAACAATATTCCTTCTTAAAAAAAAAGAAAATCCTTCTTTGGTTGAGATTGACTTAGGACTTGTGTAACTTGATCAAATCTCAAACACATCATATATATCGTCTGACAAACTTTGACACATGGGAGAAATTGACCAATTAAGGTCCTAATAATAATCTCTTAAATCTCCTGGCAGATAACAAATGTATTAGATAAGTACTAATTTTAATATGTGCGTTACAAATAGAATTATAGAACTCGAGAGTGTATTACTGAAGTCATATTCAGAAGTTGTGCGTATTGCTTTACACACCAAAATTTAACAAGCAAGAGAAAAAGACAATAGAAATACTTGATGCAATGTTGGCTTGATCAAAGAAAGCTAGTGCCATATTTCCATTAACAAAAAGCATAAAAAGAAATGCTAAAAACCGCCACGAAATTCACTTGCAATATCATTCCATAATTTCCAGTAAGGAAATATGAACCAAGTACTATTTGTTCCTAATAATCCCCTGTTGGTTTCTCTCTTTTTTTTTCATAGGTTTGAAATATAATTGACTGATTGTTGTTGTCTTTTTCTTTTTTTTTTGGATTAGTTTGATTTTGGAAATTGTAGTGGCTAATATTGTAAAATTGGATTAGTTTCTTTATCTCTTTTTTTTTTTTTTCTCTCTTCACAAATTTATTAGTGGCTAATATTGTAAAAATGTACTCTTTTTTTTTTTTTTGGTTGGTTGCAGCTGAATGTTATGAGGTGTGTATGCCCTGATGTAAAGAAGTGTGAGGAAACGTTTGATGGATGCAAATGTTGAAGGAAAAATTACTTGTGAATGCACTACCAGTGAGAGTAATAGTACATTTTCTGAATGCAAAATCCCAATGAATAGTACTAAAAATAGGGCAACATGTAAGATTATAGTTTATTTTTTACTCACTTGAGATGTCATGGGTGTAATATTAAAAAGTAAAATAACCCAGATCTCTTTTTAGGATCAAGAGAAATTAACTAGTATATAATACTCTGCACTTATCAGGTGTTCTATTTTGATTCTAATCTTTCATATATACTATATTTTTTGGCATTTGAAAGGAAAAAAAAAAACGATTTTGATACGTTTTGACATTGTAGTTTGTTGCTACTATTGTTTACTGATTGGTTGAAGAATTTATTTATGAAACTGATTAAGAAATGCAAAAATGTGCAGAGAAGATGTCTGAGAAATGGGATGATTTTGCTATAGCAATTGAGACTGCAGAAAAATTGATAGGCCTAGACAGAGTTCGAAGGCATTTGGATGGAGTTACCAAAGAAAGCATGGATGGTGTTATAAGGGAGATGAAGTTTCTGTATCTATTTCTTGGTTACACTTCATCATCATCATCATCAGCATCAGCAGCAGGAAATGAAAATGATAATGGTGAAGATGATACTATGGATCCCCAGTTCATGGACAAATTAAAGGCGACAGAAAAGTACTTGCGAGTGAATCTTCAGCATGGTTTTATTGACAGATTCCTAGATGAAGCACAGAGTTTGGTTACTAAACTGGCCAACTTCAAGAAAAAGCCTGTAAATATTGTCTACGAGATGCGCTCGCAGATCTTGAGATATGCAGGATCGAAGCGTTCAGAGTTGAGTAAAATTTTCAGCATGCTGAACTCTGAGATTAAGTGTATCTGCCGCGGAGGAGGACAACGTCGTTGTTTCAGTACCCGCGGCACCAGGCGCAGCGCCGCAGCCTAACTGGTCCACCTCAAGATCAACAGGGTGGCGTTATTTTTACATCTTTGTGGAGTCCAATCTTCAGTATTTGTCAGAGGAGGAGGATGAGGTGCAGGATTACTTGGGTGTTCCTCTGAGGAAGCAAATGAGAGCCTTGCAAATGAGTCTCAAGTCTCATGATTGGATTCTCAGTGTTGGTGACGATGATCAGCATCTCTAAAGCTGGATGCATGATATGATTACTCATATAGGAAGGACACATGTCGAGGTTGGTCACCTGTGTTGCTTCTGTTGGTACGCGGCCTCATCCATGGATCGAGACATGCAACAGAACTAAGCTAGTAAATTGTCACATCTGCGCCACAGAATGGATCCTGATTCTCCAATGTTCCTAGACATTTCTCTAGGGTTCCTAAAAAGCTGTCACGGGGAAGCCAACGAGTATATCCTCTTTTGTTCATCACATTGTCGGTGTGGCACGTGAAAGGAAACTTCTTCACAATGAATTGGTGTCCCTACTGACTTGTTTCAACAAAATCCTGGAGCTGCCTCACATGATGGATGTGCTTAGTATTACCGTGCGCATCAAAGATGTGGTTATGGAGGCCAGGTATCTTAAAGGGAAAGACATATTGCCTACAAAACTCACTTTACAGCTTTGTTTGCAAACATCTACTTTCTCAAGTACGAGATTTTCATCAAGAGTGATGGCTCCCTCCTCCCGGTTTCCAAGGAAAACCATGTCAGAGCTCTTCAAGAATGATGCAGTTTTGTGGCTGCCTGTTTCATTCCATCCAACAATAACGACAATTCTGTAGACTCATAAATTCTGAAGCTCATCCAAGATGTTCCTAAACAGGTTCAAGCTCTCTATCAGTCTTCCGAAGAGGATCACCTGGTGCGTGTCAAGGTTAGCAATTCACTTTACAAGTCTCTTGTACAAATCATGACATGTAAGGGAAAGACACTTTCATTGGAGTCGCTGGAGAAGGAAGCTGATCCGATGATCCCTTTGAAGCACAAGATAGGAACTCTTCATGATGGACTCTTTTTCCTAATACAGTCAGGCTTTAATCAGCCAACTGAAAATTCATGGGATGAGAAACCAATCTTGATAGATATTGAAGCAGTGGCCAACAGAGTAATATCTGTGTGTAACACATATCTTGCTGCCCATCTAACTGATGAAAACGTCAATAAGATGGATTCTGAGCTTCTTAAAATTGTTAAAATACCTTCAGCATTTGATGCCAAAGCTAAAAGGGTTGTCCCTTCAAAATCCAACATTCCATTTCCCCAAGGCTCCAAGGTTGATCTTCATTCAACACCTTTTACAACGTTTAGGAGATCTGTGTAACCACAAGGCTGACTCAGTTGTGCATGCAACTCATCAAACTGAAGCCATTTGGAGGGATTTGGAGTCTATAGTATCTACCTTCCAGGATGATTTTAAGCCGGGCATTGGAAAACAGGAACGCAGACGTCTCTATACAAAGCTCACTGAGGTGGCTTATCGGGTTGAGCACGTTATCGACTCCATGTTGGGCGAAAATAAGGGTTTGTGGCAACATTCGCTGCAGCTTTATCATCTGTCGGAAGAAATTAGACACATCAAAAAGGATCTCACAGATTTTGAGGAGGACTACAATAATGATGATGGGGCTCGCAATGTTTTGAATAGGTTTATGCCGTTGCGCCAAAGGTTACTACAACGGTGGCGGAAGTTATGGTTGGCCTCAATAGCAACAAAGAAGAGATCATCAACCAACTCACTAGAGGGAATAAGAAGCGAGAAGTAATCTCCATTGTTGGAATGCCTGGAATAGGTAAGACCACCTTGGCGAATGATGTCTTTCGCAGTTCACAGGTTATGTATCACTTCCCTGTTTGTGCATGGTGCTGTGTTTCCCAGAAGTATGAAAAGAGAGTTTTGTTAATTGAAATCTTAAGCCACATTGTCACCAGCACACACGATATCCATGATAAAAAGGATGGAGATTTGGAAGACCTTTTGCGTAAACAATTGAAGGGGAAAAGGTACTTCATTATTATGGACGACATGTGGACTACAGGAGCATGGGATGATTTGCAGCTCGTATTTCCAAATGATTCAAATGGCAGCCGAATCCTGATAACAACTCGTCTCCAAGATTTGGTTCATGGTATTAGTGAGCCCCATTTTCATCATCTTCTTCATCCCCTCTCTGATGAGGAAAGTTGGGAGTTGGTAAGGTTAAAGATATTTCAGGACAAAAATTGTCCACCAGAGCTCTTGAAAGTGGGAAAGCTAATAGCCAAAAACTGCAAAGGCCTCCCCCTTGCAATTGGTGCAATAGCTGGTGTTCTTGTCAGGACTTGTGGAAAGAGCGAAGATTTGTGGAATCAAATTGCTCAAAGTGTGAGCTCACAAATAGTGAATGATCCAGAAACTTAGTGCAGGAAGATATTAGAACTGAGTTACCATCATTTACCAGATCATCTGAAAGCTTGCTTACTTTACTTTGGAGCATTTCCTGAGGATGAGGAGATCCCAGCTTGGAGATTAAAGTGGTTATGGAGTGCTGAAGGGTTTATACCAGGATCAGAGTAGAAAAGCTTGGAGGATCTTGCTGAGGATTTGCTTGTTAGACCTAGTTGGTAGAAGCCCGGTCATTGTGTCCAAAAGAGGATCAACTGGCAAGGTGAAAGCATGTCTAGTTCACGATGTAGTCCGTGATCTGTGCTTGTTGAAATGTAAAGATGGCAACTTCTTGCAGGGAATATCTGGTAAAGATGAACCATACTCTTCTTTGATGGTTTACTGTATGGAGTTCATTATGAGCATTTTAACGCATCAGATATGGTAACATACAAGCGGTATGGACTATGCTTTTGTCTGAACCGGGAACAATTTGTTGCATCAAAGCCTTCTGGCCCTTTTGTCCGGTCTCTGATGTTCACTGCTACAGGGGATAGGAATCCAAGATGCCCGTATGACGTTTCCTTCATTTCTGAAAACTTTGAACGTCTTAGGATGTTGGATTTGGAGTTCATTAATATGGGTAGCTCCTGGGTAGATGGATTTGAATTGCTTATAGCTTTGAAGTACTTAGCAGTTTGTGGTGATATGGAGTGTATCCCTTCATCCTTGGCCAAATTGCAGAATCTGGAAACCTTTCTTTTGAAGTGTTTGAAGAGTAAGGTCATCCTGCCAGACACCATTTGGAGAATGAAAAAGTTAAGGCACATTCATATTAGTAATCATGCTATCTTCACTTCCCTGCGTTCCTGCCGAATCATCTCATTGGATTCGCTACGCAAATTGGAGTCACTTACAATGTCCTACTATAAGAATGCCCACAACAGTGTTCAACTGGAACTGCCCTCAAGTTTAAAAAAGTTAAATCTTTCAAAATTCCACCTGTCCCTTGATGACATCTCGGAAATAAGGAAGCTACAGAACCTGGAGGCACTCAAATTAATTTCTTGTACCTTTGAAGAATCAAAATGGGAAATGAAAGAAGAGGAGTTCTCTAACCTTAAGTACTTGGAGTTAGACAGCATAAATATTGTGACCTGGGATCTGTCCAATGGATGACTTACCCTCACATGAGCAGTTGGTGTTGCTGAATTGCATCCAGCTCGAGGAAATTCCTCTTGGCTTGGTGGGTATCCCAACATTGAAGAAGATCGAAGTTCAGTTAGGAGGAGGACTTTCCCTTGAAGAATTGGAAAAAGAAAGGAACAAGGGGTTGAGGGAATCCAGATTGTTCTCAAAAACAAGGATTCAGATTAAAGATTGCAGTATTGATTGTGGATAGTCTTCTCATGTGCAAGTAAGTCAACATATATGAGTATTTTTCTGCTTGTCCTGTCCTATTCTTCTAATTACATGTGGTTTGCGTATTGAATCCCATTGACGTCTTTGTTCTCTTTTCTGTACTACATCAAACAAAATGCCATACCTTTTTAAACTATCACAAAGTAACATGATGTACATTCTGGCTTTATCATGATTTGATCGGGTTTGCACACCCCCGGGTTGTAACTTTGTTGTTAACTTCAGAGTTAGCCTCTCTATTCAAAGACAGGAAAAGTTAACATGCATTTTTCTTAGTATTCCATGTCTTAAAAAGGAACAGTACTTGAAAAATGTTACTATTGATTTCAAAAGAATTGGAACCATACAGAGAAAGGATCAACATCAGTATATTTCATATCTTATCTTGATGATCAGACATCTTCTGTGGTTTGTTCTCTTTTTTTCGGTAACACAGGAAGCAGCACTTCGGCCAATGAAGAAGCTGCAGGGATTGAATTTAGGTTGGAAGAAAAGGATTTAATGAGCTTGGTATTTCAAAGGAGTCCAGCCGGTCTGATGTAAGAGACTGCAACCTGGAATTTCAAGAGGTAAAGTTCCCAGTTCTTGTTTGTTTATTTTGGGATGGACAGAAGCGAGAGTTTTCAAAGTGGACAAATGTTGTAATGTCTTATTGAGAGTAAAATATTTGGGTTCTGGGTGCACAATTTGCATTTTATTCAGTATCTGATGCCATTTCTGTGAGTTTTAACATTATCCCTTGTTGGCATACTTATTTTCTTCTGTAATAAATTATTAATGGATCTCAAGGGCTATTAGTTTGTTTCTATTAGCTTTGTGTATTTCCGTCATGCTTTTCTCCTTTAAGAATTCGTGTCCAGTCTTCAGCTTAGTTGTTGTTAAGTGCTTACCTTTTGTTGGCATTTTACAAAATACAGTTTTCTATTTCCCTTTTCTGAAATGGAATTCTTTTTAATAAGAAAATGTCATACTGGTATTTCTTTTCAGAGTAGATGCGAATTGCGGTGAAAAAAGGATATATTTATCAGTTGGGTTTGATTTTCAGCCAGCTTCCAAGGGGAAAATACGCATTTGATGAGTTTTAGAAAAGCTGATACATATACATCAAATGTAGCCTATCTTCAGCAACAGCAATTGAAGGGCTGATACAGTATACACAAGCTCCCCCTGTATCTCTATATTATCTACTTGCAAACAATTGATAGACATAGGAACGGAGGTGGAAACACAATCTAAACTTTCACGGTCCTCCATTAATAATACAAATGTGTCACCCGTATTCGTTTTCAACAGCAAAACTGACTGGACCGCACATCAGACTTCAGACGGAAGTGTTTCGAGTTGTACCTGTGCTTTCTGAATCCGCATCGTAGTTCCAAAGTTCTTTCAGCTCACCTCTCACCAAACCCAGTATTACACAGAGTCCTGAGTTAATATAAGAAATTCCAGTGAGATCTCCAGCACATCATGTAAATAATTTTCAATTCTGTTGGGCGGGTAAGGAAGAAAACAGAATAGCAGAGGTGATTTGAGAGTCCAAACCTAATGTGCAAGGAACCAGATATAGCAAAGCCGGTTGACCGTGCCCATTCATTAGGTACAGGCCTAAGTAAGTAAAGCACAGACCTGCAGTAATCCATCAATCATGTTACCATTTTTTTTAACAAAAAAATGATGAAAAAGAAAATGCAATATATGTTTTGATTTCCGCCAATATCCACAGAGAGGAATGTCAAGTAGCCTAATGGAGGCGAACATTAGACTATTTCAACAAACAACAACTACGTCAACCAAATTAATTAACTAATTGACAAAAAATACTAAGTAGTTAATATCTGAAAAACTGAGTACTACATCCCCAGTAAATCCAAGAATTAGGTCTTAACTTTCTGTACTAAGTTCAGCTGAAGTACCTACACATCACGTGAAAAGTTTCAAGAGATTATCACGATCATCTACAAATCCTAACCAACAACTGAGCGAGAGCATTTCACAATGAGGCTAAAATTTTCACAAAGATCATGATGCCATAAAATTTAAAAAATTTCACTAATTCACCTTTTGAGACAACTGATTTTCCTTGATAACTAAAATAATGCGTGAAAGGAACAATAGAGAGAACCATAGACTAAACTGAAAGTCCTTACCAACGACATCTATAACACTTTATTGATCCTCTGGGGGAAAAACGATTTAATCAAGAACAAATCCATGTGATGTTGATCAAGATGAGATGATGACGTATAAAGAAAGGTACGGAAAGAAAGTCTACATCAGGTGCATAAGAATTATGGAACCCCAATACTGTGCTTGGTTCAAAAGAGCAATATTCTCTTGATTCAAAAGATAAAATTGGACTGTTAATGCAGTTTTCTACATTTAGACCTTGTTGTCCTTGAAACTATGGTTGCATGACCACAGTTTCATCCATAAGACTTCCTCTTATTTAAAATAAGTTAAAAAAGAAAAAAAAAAAGAGAAAAAAAAAACAAGTAACACCTACCACATCCGTAGCCAATTGCCAACCAAAGGAAGTATCCATTTGCACCAGCTTTCTTTTTGGCTTTGTCAAATCTGCAATGAAGTCAAAGACATGCTAATTAAAATATATGATCCACTTTTAGAATTAGAAGATTATTAGCAGATAAAGTTTTCAGAATGACATTAATGGAACACCAAGCTTCTCATGTTCGCTAGCATTCTCAACAATACAATTCAAATGCAGCGAAATTGGAATGAGCTAAACTTTTAGAAACACAGAATAAAATGGTTGAGCTATAAACAATCACCTATGTGAAAAGGAAACTAGCAAACCCGGAAAGAGGATGTCACCAAAGCCAATCATATCAAAACCCCCCCAAGGATCAAATAGCCGAGGAACTCGCAAAAGCATCGGGATTGATTCTCCACCAGCTTTGTCACCCCGGGCAACCTACAAAGGTTAAAAAGAATATGAATCAAAGACAGCCATAGAAAGAGATCACTGTTAGCTTGAAGTGCATCAGGAAGCCCAAACAAAAAGATCAAGATACTGACTAATGCACAAGAAAAGTGAAACAATCACGGAGGAAAAAATATTTTTTTATTTGCAAACCATAGCTTACAAACAAACAATAAAATCCATATCCTTAAATGAGAAATGTTAACTTTTATTACAAATAACCAACTGAGAAGATGGTTACAAATAACCAACTGAGAAGATGCTTAGTAACCTGTTCCACTCCTCAGTGGAGGACCCACTTAAGTCAATATAAATGGAGAATGGACTATCTGGGCACCATCATTAAACACTTACAACTATTAATTCTAAGCCAATTAGTTTTTTTCGGACTAAGTATTCAAATTCAGCATACAAATAAACCTTTCTAGTACCCATGCCATATGATGTGTCAAATGTAGCGAAACAGAGAAGATAAAAGCGATATGGAAAAAGAGAGAGAGGTCATTGTGCATATAAAGATTGCAACTCCAAAAACCATATATTTTTTTTTGTTAGTAAAATCCAGACTTAAACACGAATAACTTCGATAGATTTCTAAAGCACCAGAAAACAAATAACTGTAAATGGTAAGACCTAGGAATAGAGTGGAAAATCATTACAAAACATACCTACATAGTAAACCTTTCCTAATTCAGGACTTTAAGGCTCGAAGTTATACTCACAATCAGTAAAGGAGAAATTAATAAGGAATTAGACTTCAATATTTTCTCATAAGAAAAGTTTAGGGAGATTGCAGGTAAATTGTTAAATCAAATGCAATACAAATGGTATAATTTTTTTTTTTTCCTTATAAAAGTCTCGTTTCTTTAAAGGAATATAACAAACAGTTAAAAATACAATTTAACTTCAACATACTCTATTGATTTAGTGTGTTCTTTTCTTTTCTTTCTTTTTTTTTTTCCTTTTGTTTTTGCTCTTTTATATTAATCCTAATAGCCCAAGCCTTCCCCAGATATAGACAGTATGCTGTCTGAGTTATAATTAAAGAGTTAAAACAGTACAGGTTCTATTGGTAGCACAATCATCTTCCTAAATTCCAACCTAAATTCTAAAAAGGATCAACCATTTAAAATCAGACATTCCTTGAACCTGAAGTAAAATATCAATAACAGATAGGACCGTTCCCTTTGAACCATATCTCCATAAAGAGCTAAGGTGTATATATGGCCAATTAAAAGTCATGAATAATTGAAACAGAAGTAGTTAGACTAAACTCAATATATGCCATTTTAAAACTTGGTCACCTTCATAACAAATGGACAATAGCTCTCATAGTAAAAGAACTCACCGCGATCATGACGCTGTCATGGAAGATATAAGGTGAGAGGAACACCCAGAAGATGTCATAAAGAAAAGCACAGCAGAGTAGCACAGTTGCCACCTATGTGAGAATACAATGATTAGAAAGGGACTGTCAGCTTCTCAGTTATTAAGATATGTAATTCATAACCATATAATTGTTCTACAAACCTTTATATTCGGCAATTGTGCTAACTGCAAGACACTTATCATCAAAGAGATGCCCTGACAAAGAGAAGACACATGGCCAGTATCAATTATTGTGATAACTGGGAATAATAAAACCCATTTCTATAAGGATATAAAAGATATGAATCAGTGTAGAGTGCACATTTGCAGAGCTCTAGCTTCACAGAGCCTTGATGACCAAATGAAGATGTGCATTGAGAGAATATCACATTCCAATATCATAAAAGACACTTCCAAACCAAATGACAAAGGATCTCGATGGTTTTTTTAGTGTTTTAGAGATCACAGAGCAACTGGTTGAACTCTTAAGCTTAATTCTAAAAATTAAACAGAGAAATTTTCCAAAGGGACTAAATCACAGGACAAAAGAAAAGCACACCCATTCATCATAAGTAAAAGAACTTATGATAACAATGAAACTAACTGAAAGAAAACAGGGAGAGGAAAAACACACCTACCCTAATTTATAAAAGGCGTAGAAAATCTAGTCGGGGGAAGCAGCAAACATGTATCAGCTTCTAATAACCAAGATGCCAAAGTGTGATCCAAAATTCTAACAAAGATTGATGGCAAATGCAACTCATGAAAGTAGAATCACTCTTCAGTAAATACATAAACTTGTTCCACAAAACAAATCTAGACTTATATCAGCTCCAGAAAGCCACTTAGGCGCAAAAAATTCAGACTATAGAAAGTAATTTATGCTACTTCAATGAAAGCAGAGGTTAGAAATTTCAAAGGCTCCAGAGAAGTGCATGTTAAAGGAGTACCAGCTGCAGCAGGTTTGCTATAACATACTAATTCCCCTAACCTCAAAGAAACCTAGTGTGCTACCTCTCATCTAAAAGTGTAGTGTTTTCATACTCAAAACTATGGTACGACGCCAATTGAAATGAAAGATAAACAAAATCATGCAAGATTAAAAATTAAAACTAGAAACTAAAATTTGTTCCCCTATACTTACAAGAATATCTTGGCCAATCCAAGAGTACGAAGCCTTCCTATTCAGAGCCCAACAAACAGCAAAAGCCACGCAGAACACCAAAACTACAAGCGAGAGAATGGAAACCTCCCCCAGAAGTGGCAAGTTTAGGGTCTTTTTTCCACAATTTTTACATTTGCTGTTCATGAAAAGAGACATACAACAGTAATTGCATGAGGAATAAGTGCCACAGCAAAGACCTTCCACTTATCCAAATCATACACAGAGAAAATGTGAGTTATACCTTAAGATAAGAGATACAATAACCGAATGCATTCCCTGCCAAACAAGATGAGTTGAAATATAAGAATCTACTAAATTCTAAAAGAAACCCTAATAAATGGTATTAAGACAGGTTATATTGATATACAGTTCAAGTCGTTGTAGCAGGGGCACTACAGACCAAAAAATTCCAAAAATATGAACACTGAAATAAACACATTAACATAGCTCAGAAAAGTTAAAATTACTGAAAGAAAATTAAAATATAGAAGCTGCGTAATAAATTTCTCAACATTCTCACGTTACGAGAAACAAGAGGGAATAGAACAAGCAAAATTCTGAAGACAGTAAAGAGGAAACTTAAATGAATAAATAGAATATGAATACTTTCATAGAACAATCATAAAAACGTAAGATTGACCAGGACAAAATCAGAAGCAACTGAACAGCCCCTGCTAGTCTCCCAATTAGAAAAGGCAAAAGAAAAAACCACCAAGAACACGAACTTCTTTTGCCAGATTCCAGGGTCTAGCCTATTTAACTCGTTGAAACATTTTGCCTAATGCTGAAAAACTTGACATCTATGTATTGATAAAGATTAGGAGTCTGTTCAACACCCATTCAACTCGTTGCTTATGTTAAAAATAAGATAAAATCCATAAAGAGTATGTCTTCTAAAATGTAATTCAGATCAAAACAAGGGAAAAGAGGAAATCCTGACATTGTACGCACTGTCCTCCCTAAAAGAAACGACAGAACTTATATAAGTAATGTCTCATATATGCTTTCTACATACATTAAGCAAAAAAATATACAAGACTTTAAAATCAAAAGATATCGTCTACCACATATGAAAAACAAGTTTACACAGGAAATACTGTGCACCCGTATCCCAGACTTCTTAAATTTTCTAAAATTCACATTGTTAAGACTTCAGTCATAATTTGTCCCTGCGTAGGCTTTTTCGGCAGAAAGCACAGATTCTAAATCCAAACAAAAATAATGTAAATGGGCAGTAAACAGAGTTACATACCTCAACAGCACCGATGCAGAAAAGTACGATGAGAATCCAAACAAACCAAGTTGACATGAATAGGTACAGCAGCACTAGAAATGTGGATGCTGATATGACGAATATTATAGCAGTCTTAGTATTTATGCTGATAATTTCCTTATCTTCTTCTTCCCTGGCTGATGATTCCTGGCAAGGAGAAGACACATAACTTGATAAGCAAAATAAATCACTTCCATAGGGCTATGTTTTTCATGGTGAATTCGGACACATCAATGGCAAGTAAAAATTTGAGTCTATGGTAAGTGAAGCGTAAAAGACAGTAATGCTTTAGTTTACCAAAGAAATAAGAAACATCAAAGCATAAAAAGTTTTTCTGAACCACAAATCGAAGCCATGTTGACTTCTGCCAGGTGATTGTTGTAACACTAAGACAGTTCGCAATCATACAAGCATTAATACCAAGTACACTTGATCAAGGTTATTCACTCTAAGCTGAAAATTTAGCTGCATGTCCTAAAACAAGAAACCTACAAAATGTAAAACTTAAATAGATCTTGCTGCTGGTTTCAAGACGTTAATTTAACAAACATAAGCACCAGACCTGATCAGAAACAAAAAATTTAGGGATTTTTATGCAGTTCAAATCGTCGAACAAAAAAGATCTTTGGACAAAGATACTATATCTCTCATAAAAGCATGCAACACATTGAGACACCTAACATACTCAAGTGTACAAAGTACACACACAACTTAACATATTGAGCAAAATCACCGATTAATTATTAAATTAGCTCGCATAAACAACCATTAGTACACCACAATGACAAAAGATAAACCAGTAACATTTACTGATTTTTCGAAAATAATTAATACTCAAAATGCTTGGCATTCAAAAATCCTCGAAAAATATCAGCATTGTAAAAAATGGCCTTTGCCCAATTAAGAAATCATTTAAACAAAAGCAATCTAATATTTCAATAAGATACATTCATAAACAAGAAAAGAATAATACGCACCAACGAGATCATCAAAAATCTTTATATATATATAGATATATTAGTAATACCTTAGGTGATAGTTCATTATAGGGCTCATCATTTTGCTCTGTCGCCGTAAACTCGGACCAAAGTGTAGCACATACAAGTGTCCCAACAGCCATAGACCATAAGAACACCACAGAGAAGTCAACGATTGGTCGATTTGGTGAATACAACAGAAGTTCCACTGCATTGGGAAAAACATAATTCTCGTATCACGTAACTGAAGAGTGCCCCACAGTAAACCAATGCAAAAACCAAATCATTACGAAGAAGGGGGAGGAAGACACACATTCACGCCCAACAAATACAACTTTGCATCAGATAGATAACAAGTTCCAACTGAAATCATACACTAGTGCAATGACTGTCACCTAATAACCAACCTACTCCACATTACATAACATTTTAACGTATATGGAACCGAAAAAATAATCATAGAAAACAGATCAATGATGACCATTTGACGCTTTTAACTACTAGTGAATGATAAGTAAACGTACTAATATGCTATGTCTAAATAACTAAAATTACATGACATACGGAAATGTATCAATTGTAAGCAATAAGCATACCAATTATGTCCATAATTCCACAAATTATAACTTTATGTCCATTTTATCTTTCTTTCCCTTCATAATATTCGTCCCATATCTCCCATATTATTTCTTCCCATATTTCCGAAGTAATGGTTGTTCTTTCGACAGATTGTGTGTTCCATATTCAATACGCGTGGGGACAAAAATATATAACAAGCAAGATCAAACGTAATCAAATCCCCAGTGCCAAACATAATAACTTGAGGCCAAAATACACGAAGCTCACCACTGCGCCCATCTGACATCGACTTTTTCAAAGCCTCTCCTCCTGACTTCGAGATCATTACAACAGGAATGGTGATCTTTAAATCTGCATCCTTGTCAGAACATCCCATCTCGATAAGATCTGGATAATGCAAAACAAGAAATGTGCATGTCAGGTTTGACAAGGAAAAAAATGATCAAAAAAGTTTCACAAGAAAGCCTGCGCACAGCTGGCAGGTATAAGTCATCTAAATGAGCTTCGCGGAATCTACCTTCTCCATCATTTACTATCAATAGCCCAGCTGCACCTCCTGCTTGTGCAACTTGAGCCTTAGTCGTAAAATCACACTCGCCACGCTGAGCCACCAAAATGGTGCCTTGTACCTACAAGGAATTAAACCGACTTTGAAGCCACCACAAAAGCTCAAAGTACATAAGATAAACAACAAAGATTCTACCGACTTTTTCTCCTGAAGTGACAGCACCAGAGTTACATATTCAATAAGTATACAAGGACAAACGTGTATAAGAAAACAACTGACTATTCACAGAATAACATTCTCCCATGACAAATTTTTTACATACATTTTGTGCCTAATTTGAATTCCTGCATATGGGAATATATAATTCATGTGCCCATATCTAAAAGGCCAATAATTGTAAACTCCAACACCTCATGGTCACCTATGTAGAATCTAGGAGCGAAATCAACAATATGGACTAGTTTACTCAGAATCATTTTTGGCCAATTATTACAAATTATCTTTGCGAAGTCAACAGCATACAACACTCAGTCTTCAATTGAAAACAACGCAAATCATCAATAATCCTTCCTCATGTGGCGTTTTTTGATCAACAACTTCGACCGATTAGGCGATCAATAAATTAGATATAATTCATAACAGAAACATTAGAAAAAATATGGGATGGGACCAATACATCAGAAGATAAAAATATACGCTAAAGGTGGTCTGGCCACGTGAGTAAGAGAATGTTCAATGACCCAGTAACATGGCTAAAAACGCAAAAAGAACCCAGATATACCTTGGGAGCCAGACTAGTGCAGCAATTCAATGGATTTGAAAATACGGCTGGGAATTTGAAGCCTTTTTCAGCTTCAGTAGGCATTGGTGAACCAAACGAAGCACTTAACCCGGTGATTTCATCTGCACCCTTACTGTGGATCTTGACCTTAACCTGCATAAGAATGAAGGAACATAATTCAGCATTCACTAGATTGCTTTAACTTGAAGAACAACTACAAGAAACAACATCACAAATAATCGCTAGCATCTCATTTTCATGCACCCCAACCTATCAGGCTCCTCCTATTGCAGTAGCTATTTAGATCGTTAATATGTCAATGCATAAACAATAAGCCTAAAAAGTCAGATAAAAAAAAGTGGTGTTGAGGATTGAGAAGAAACGAAAGAAAAGATTAAATGGCCAGCTTTGATTTTCACAGATTATAAAAGCTGGATCCATCCACGTTTACTGTTCACCTGAATGTTTGATCAGAACGATTTCTAACACAGTATAAAAAGAACCACACACGTCTCTGAGCATAAAACATCACTCAAATGCTACCTTGAATGACCTTCAAAAGAGGTCAAATAACTCAAATACCATTGTGCAGCCCCATAATTCAAGAATTTTAAGATTTACCTACTCTAAAGATCTCTCAAAATTCAACTTTTCCAGAATATGTAATCCTTTGCGATCTATATTATTATATCCTATCGCCACTACAGAATCTCTATGTTCATCAGAAAATTTCACTGGAACTTCCATTGGTCAAAACTAATTTTCTACACACAGCCAAATATATTTCGCAATATGGTCCAACAATTTAGCTCTGGGACTACTCTGACTAATCTAGTTTGAAACATAATTGAAACTGCCGATAGAACCAAAATTAAGTAAGGAAGATCTCTAATGGCAAGACGAGAACTGAAATTCAAGACGCAGCTGGCTACTTAGCTGCCTTTCACCTCAAGAATAACTTCATGCCCATAATCAAATTCATCAAGGTGACAGAAATCGACAATTCTTTAAGGATATTTCTCCAAATGAGAAAGATACATTTGTGGAAATCTTGAGAAAGAATTCTGATCATAATACTTCTGAATACAGGCACCAACCCGGAAATCCAAAAGTGAGCACAAATCAAAACAAACGAATGGAACACTGAACATGGACGAACAAATGCATTGTAACAATATACGGAAAAATATGATAAATTGGGATGAAAACTAACCAAACGAAAAGGGTTGTTGCAGGCGGTAATATTTAATCCATTCGAAGGAGTCCGTGAGATATCATCACCATGGGCGATCGATGAGAAGAAAAGGAAAACAATTCCTAATTGGAAAATCAAGCCAAAAAACCCAGAAAGTTTCGATTCCATGGCGAACCCAAAAAGATTTCAAAATGTAACTATTTACAGTATTTATAATTATATTTTCATGAAAAAATTTTACAAAAATAAAATAGAAAAAAGAGCAAATTGAAAGATTAATCCCCTCAGTTTTCTCTTTATTCCATGCTTTTTTAATCGGGTAAAAAAAACAAAGAGAAACAAAGAGGAGAAATCAGAAAAGGGGGAAAAATGGAGAAGGTAAAAGAAAATGGAAAGAAGGAGCAAAAGAAAGGAATAGAGAGAAAGACGTCGGTGAAGAAAAGATATGATGAAAAAGAACACAATTTGCGAGTGCACGTTGAAGCTTGGGAAACGAGCAATTCGCAAAATGGTGTTTTTTCTATTTTGTGTCCGAAATTATTTTCCTAATTAACTTAGTGTTGTACCCGTGCAACGGAGAAATTTGATTTTTTGAAAGTAATTCAATGAACAATTAATTAAAACATGAAATATACAAAATTTTTCAGAGAATATATGCTTTATTACATGCCAAAAACATGAATTCTGATATAAAAATCACAAAAGTTGTGACATCAATAACAAAGAAAAAACTTAACAATATAAATAATGACCGCATTATACATTCTCAAGAACTTTTTTGTAAACAACATTTGCTTTGCATTGCAGAGTTCTCCCTTCTTATTGCAAATAATTATCTTCAAACCTTTCTGGACTTTATTCAGGAGAAAGCAACGTAAAGTTGTCCACGTGTGAAAACTGGACGACGGAGAAACAAGCCAATATGAGATAACGATTGTCCTTGAGTCTTATTGATCGTCATAGTAAACATGCTACAACCGGAAATTGGTTCTGTTTTAATTTAACCGGCATCCTCTTGTCAGTCGGACTAATATCCATACGTAGAATGAAACATTTGCGACCGATATTAGTAGCAGATATAGTAGTAGCCTGAATAACTCGTTCTCACAAATCGTTGACCTGTAACCTGGTACCATTACACTAGCCGCCTGGCTGATCAAGATTCCGAAGAAGCATGATCAGGACTCCATCCTTAAGTGATATCTTGTGATTTGACATTCCTGAACACTTAATGGCGTTGAGAAATTCTTCCGTGTAAAGCTCATCGTCCTCGGGATTTACTGACCTTGCTGTCTCTTCTATGCAATGAGAATTGTAATATATCTTTACTTCCCCATTTAGTTGTGCCACATTGATTGAATCAACTTCATCATTGGTTTGTGCCAAAATTTCCCGTTCATCAAAGAAACCGGGAACTTTCAAATTGGTTAATATCACAATTTGAAATGTTTGATCAATGTTAATTGTATAGAGAATATTTAGATATTCGCGAAAATGATAGTTAAATTATATTGTTCATGAAATATGATATTTTTCTAAAGTAGTACTACATTTCTGGAAGGAATTATTTCAGTCAACACACAGTATTTGAGATCAAAGTCAACTTGGTGCTGAATTATCACGTTGTGGGTAAGAATTTATTTTTCTGTATAATATTAATGTCAATTACAAAAGAGTGTTGACTATGACCATGAGTACCTAGTTAGCTATGAATATTAGTCCGACTTTTGAAATGTTTCATCAATGTTAATTGTATAGAAAATATTTAGATATTCGTGAAAATAATCTTTCAGTAAAAATATTATTTATTTAATATCTATAATAAATAATAAATAAATAACAATAAATAAATAAATTCCATTATAACAAAAAGCAAATGTAACTAAAATTCCAAATGTCAAGTTGTCCATAAAAATCTCCCCCCTAATTTTTTTAACTGATTAAATGTAGATAAATTTTTTTAAAAAAGGCCAATAATAAATTCCCAACCTAAAAACATTTTGCCGTCCAAAATTCTTCTCCCAATCCCAAAAATTTCGTCTATCACGTCCAGCCAAATCCATTAAACCTATCCAAAAAAAATAATAATAAATTATCTCTAATCACATCTCAAAATCAATCGTAAAGAGTAACTGCAATTCCATCCATGAATGTTCTTCAATCAGGATTCCACATTCCTGCACAACCTCCATCTCTCCCACGGTGAATTCCGAATTCTAAATTCATAAAGGACTGTTCCCTCCTATTCAAACCGAAAACAAAACCTTTTCCTGTCTTACGGTTCTTTCCCCCCTAGATGCAAATCTTTTATAAATTACAATTGTACGAAGCCTTTGATGCTAAAGATTCAAGAAAAGGAAAGAGTTCCCCTACACCATCAAGGACTTGTCAAACACTGCATCGATGACATAGGCTGATTACAACATTAGTCCACAAGTAGTTTGAGGGAGCCAGTAGAATTCAAAGGAATCGGCATCAATTATTGATTACGTCAGGTCTTTTTGTTGTAAAAGAATATTATTGATGAGTTTTTTTTTCCCATTGTAATCATTTAAAAGATATGTTTATTCTTGAAACATTAGGTATTTGGGAAGCAAAATTGAGCAGTGAAAATCCCTGTCGAAAAGAAATCAGTGTTATGGTCTGAAAGTCAAATAAAAAAATTGCACATTACAACCATAAAAGGTGAGTTTTTACTATATTTTCACTTAGAAATTTACTTTTTATGTGTGAACCATTTGGTTGATTTCCTTTTGTTTCACTAGACTTCTCAGTATTGAAGTTTCAAGCTTGACCTACTCTTTTACTTTTGGTAATTGTGTCAAAATAACGGATTTAACGGTATCATTGCATTTTGGTTTACTGTGTTCTTTGGGATGATACGTAGGTCTGATTTTTTAATTTTCATATGGACTCAAGCTTAACATTTTTAAGTCGAAAATAAAATTTTCAAAATTGAAATTGACAAGTTAGGGCACAAATTGATTCCAAAGTTGAAACGATTCCATATGACTTTTCATTGTGTTTCTATTTTTCTATTTTGTAATGTGAGTTACTTTTTATCGAAATTCGAAGTTGACAGGAACCCATTCAATAAAGTCTTGCAAGTTTATCTAATAATTATGTGCTACAGTTCTCAATCCATGGGTAATTTAAAGACCTACTTGCTATTGTAAGAATGACCATAAATAACAAACTAAAAGCCAAAAAAAAAAAAAGAGAAAAAATGGGAAATATATTTGTAAATTACAGCTCTTTTTTCATGAGAATATTCGGCCCAAAAAAAAATCAAATGGTAATGTAATTGCCATCTACATTAATTTCCATATGTTTTTTCTTCTTGATTGAACAAGCAATTTCTATCATCATCTTTTCTCACTCTCTCTGCTTCTTATTTTGATTGCAGAAATGAAAGTTCTTGCACTATGAAGTCAGATTTTTTTCTGAATATTCCAAGATTTGTTTGCACACGAGATAGAAGTAAAAAAGGAAACTACATTTTGTACTTCAGTATTTCAAATCATCGACAAGTTCGGCAAAAACAATATTATATATTGTAAAAATAGCACTAATTGTCTGAATCTAAATAAATTGCATCATTTTTTGTGGTTAGCAAAATTTGACTCTTTTTGGTTTTACATCGGCATTTGGGTGAAGAATACAATATAAGAACTAAATGTAATAGTGAAATCATTTAGATGGTTAGGGAAGTGATATTGTCAAAAGTTGATCTTAATATTATTAATATTAGGACCAATAACAAATGTATGCTATCCCCGTTCTGCAATGAGTATGCAGAATTTTACTACTAATTTCCTCCGACATATACTTGATCATCATATGAATGGCAAATGATGCATTATATTTTCAATTCGCTCATTTTGAACTCACTCATTTTATTCAAATTAAAATTTTTGTATGAAAGTAAAAATACATTAGTCTATTACATACCCCGGTAAAGAAAATTAGAGTGTACCATAAAAAAATAACTTATGTTATGATCTTATGTAAGAACGAAAACAAAAACAAAATAAAAACAAAATAATCGATGCAGGCTAATATATTTTCAAGAAAATCCTTGAAAAACCCATTTGTTGTGAAAGTGCAGAATTCATCATCCTTAAGGCCAAATCATAGCTAGATTATTTTAGTACCAAACCCAAATATTGATAACTAACCGTAGTGATTAATGAAATGTTGTTTGATTTAAATAAAATAAAAAATAGAAATTCTAAAACAAAATCGGTTAAAGAAAATACTAAAATTGCTCTATATCACACGAAAACTAATGTTAAATAAAATCAAATTTCTAAAATTCTAAAAGAGACCCGGTTAGAAAAAAAAATTCCTTAATTAGTTTTATATCACACATAACTTAATGTTCAGTGTACCGAAATTCTGGGCCAAATAAATAGGTGCAAAGGGATCACACGGCCAAAACAAATTAAGGCCAAATCATAGCCACATTAATTTTCAGTATCCAAACCCAAATCAATCAATCAATCAATCAATATATTCAATATATATTATATTATTGCAGAAACCAGAAATAGAAAAATTGATGACATGTCGCACTCATATTCATTATTTTCCCGCCTATAAGAATAACTCACAAAAAATAATATATAATAAATCTTTGTGTATTATGTATAGCATGCAGTGTAAGAAAACCGGTAAATTTTGACCTCTAACAAAAAAAAAAAAGAAAAGAAAAAAAATTCGAACTATTATACATGTGCGTGCCATCAAATTCAGACTAAAAATGCTAGAAGATAATTCTAAGACTAATAACTACCTCAATGAACGTGGAAATTGTAAAAACTCTATTAACATGTAGTCAGTACAAAATTAAACAAAAAATTCAACTTTTGTAGACTCACGATTAAATTAATTATTCCATCTATCCCAAAATTATTGTCCAGTTTGAGATTCACTTTTAGTACAATTTGAACTAGAAATGAAAATTCAAACTGGACAATAATTATGGAACGAAGGGAGTACTAGTTTCTCTGATTCATAAGTAACCAAATTTTTAACTCCCTCTAACTTCTGTTTACAAAACTGCTGAAATTAACACGTCTCTCTAAACTGACACACGATCATCAAACGAGTAGTTTCAGAAATTTGCATTTCTGTTGGCTTTTTTGTTTTTTGTTGGTAAATTGTAAATATATTAATACCTTTTGAACAAAAGCAGTGCATATTTACAGGCCCAAAAAGTCACTGGTATTTCAACTTTTTATCGTCTGTAGCCTAACATTATATACAATTCAACAACTTAAATATTGTGCCAAAATACTCAATTCTGAGCAGAACATCTTCCTTCTTTCAAGATCTTCAAATCTCCATTGTATTTCCTTGTGGATGGTCTACAGCAAGGTTTCCTCACTTCTGATTTTTCCTGTGAAGATTCGGGCATTTCGTTCTTCCCAAATGTGGTATATGCAGGCAGCTATAACAACAAACAGTATGCCTCTTTTTAATCTACACGACTTCCATATGACCATAATTCTTCTCCTCCAAACATTGAGTTTTATAGACATGGGATTCAACCCCAGCCATTGAACTACTTTAGCCATGATTTCAGCAGAATATTGGCATTCAAAGTACAAATGTCCCAAGGTTTCCTCATGTTGGTGGCGGAACACACAACTACGATCGTCAATATAGATATTCAGTTTAGCCAATCTCTCCTTGGTCAATAACCTCTTTTTCCAGAATAATCAAACAATAAACGAATGCTTTGGCACATTAAATCTGGACCATATAAACTGTGCTGCATATTCTTTTACACCACTACCAATAAGCCAATAATAGCCAGAAGTGATAGTATACTTACCAGAGGGTGTATGTTGCCACACTACAAAAAAAAGTGGCTTTGGTGACCAATTATTTTGTGACCAATTAAAATATGGTCACCAAAATGGACACTTGGTGACCAATTTTTCATCATAGTCAATAAAATTTGGTCAACGAACAAGATTACTGACTAAGGCAAAAAGGTGGTCAAAAATCTGGTCACCTAGCTGGTGGGATGGTTTGTAAAACTGAATAGTGACCAATTTTGTTGACCAAAGATGGCTTCCTCACTAAAATTTTGTTTTTTTTGACTTGATTCTCTTGGTCTATAAATTGAAGAAACTAATAGACCAAAATATCTTGGTCACCAAGGCCATGGCGGGAAATTAGCTGCCCATATCATTTTTTGCCCGGGGTATTTGTTGGGCAAATTTGGCGCATAAGGTTTCCCGCCTATAATGGTTGACCTGATGGTCACCGAACTTAATTTTTAATACCACTAATTAGGTCAATTAAGCCATGGAGGGAAATGTGCCGGCCAAATTCCCTTTTCCCCAAATTATGTGTTGGTCAAGAATTATAATAATATTATGAATTATTTGATTATCCAAAATATTAATTGGATTATTTGGAGGTGGCTTATTATTAGCAAACTACTTATATATATAGGAATATATATTTCTTTTGAATCAAATTAGTAACAACAGTTTCACCCAAAAAATAAAATTACTATTAACAAAACTCTCCACATTATTAAACAATAATAAATTGTGGTACACTTGATGAAACGAGGAAAAAGAATTGGGAAAATGAAAAAAGAAAGCACGAAAAAGAACCGAAAATAATTTAAATTAAGTTGAAAAAAAAGTGATAAAACTCAAATAGTATATATGCCGAGATCTATATATACAAGGGTGCACAGAAATAATGAAAGGAAAAAACATAAAACAAAAAGATGAGTGAGGAAAGGAAGAGGGTTTCTACTTGAGCGTACCCAAGAGAAGCTGAGATCGTATAATCATTCTTCTACTCAAAAGATTTTATAATCCGGGAACAATATTAATCTCAAAAGTAGCAGATCCAGTGAGCGGCGATCCCGGTGGAAGTTGCAGTAGGGGATTCTATCCTTGATTTAGGTCGCACCGAATTTGGCTGAATCGGGCAGTAAGCTCTTGTAGTAATTAAAGACCAACTGAGAGTTGTAAGTATTATTAGCTTTGTCTGATGTTAAACCCAATTATTATATGGATACATTCAATTTGTTGGAAGAATGAGGTTCTTTTTCTGTTGCATGTGATGAACCGCGGGCTTTCCTTTTTTTTGTTTTTTTGTTTTGTTTTGTTTCTATTATGGGTTATTATTGTTGGATGAGATGTTTGACCTGGGGTGAATCAATATTGTTGTTGGAAATTTTGAGTATAAGTTTTCTATTGTGGGTCATTGAACATTTTCGTTTTCAATTGAGAAGAGTTTAAACTTTTGGCTTAGCTGAGGAAAGTGTAACTCGAATTTTTGCCTTTTTGTGGTTAGAAAGGAAAAGATAACTCTACATCCAATTACTTCTGGTTTGTAAAGGACAGTATATGGTCCCAAAATGAAATGCTGCCATGTGTTATGTATGGAAAAACATTCTGTTTGTTCCACTTTATAGAACAAAAGTCTCTTTGTTAAAAGTGTATGGTTGGCGTGTGCTTTAATTTCAATATTCTCACCTCGATATGTAGCTACAAGACCTTGAAATAGACATTTAATTAGAGAAGTCAATGTGATATCACCTGCAAAAAAAACATCATTTTTTGATCCACAATGAAAATAATTAAATCTTTTTTTGTTTGAAATGATTCACGTTGCTTGCTTATTCATTCTAAAGGTTGCTTAGTTTCTGATTTCTATGTTAGTTGCTTTGTTTTCAACAATCTGTACTTGAATATAATCGTTCAAAGTAGTCTGTATTTTGTAACCTGCGTGGTCAGCACTAATGATTTCATCAATGGATGCATGATGTACATATTATAGAATAGAAGTGTGATTTATCATAGACTTTCAATTGTCTTGGGAACGTTTAATGAGTTTTATATGATACTTTTGTACTATTTAACTTGAATACATTGTTGATGTGCTTTCATATGTAGATGGCTGGTCTAGGCAAAGGAGGAACTCAGAAGAAGTGCTCTCATATTCTTGGGGTGGCAAACCTACTTCAGCAGCAACAACTCCGTCGAAGTGGCCGACTTACACCAACCAAGGAAACATCAGGATTTCAGCTTCGAGATGAAGATGAGCTTGAAACACCAGAACCTGACTTTCGAGCATCGAAAATTAGGCGTACTTTAGATCTTAGTCGGGAGACTCATGGCCTAGGTGAAGATGACTCGCTCAGCTTCACACCCCTCCAAAACAATGAGGAACAACATGCATCTGGTGAGGAGCCTATGAACGATGGAGGACAAAGCAGAAATGAAAGTGTCCATCAAGAGCAAACCAGAGGATCATCTAAAAGTATGTTTACATGACTAAATTTATGATATATTCGTTGTTCCAGTTTTGTACTTCTCCTAAATTCCAAATAGGTTTTGATGATAGATGTTTCTTTACATGTTGATTGAACTTATAGGTTCATCAGCACCTAGAGGACCTACCAGGCAACTTTCGAATGTAACCAACTCTGATGGTGGTAAGAAGATTGTTGTTGAAATTTGTCAAAAATCTAAACTGCTTGTGGGAGCTAGCAGCCAAAAATTGATCACTAAAGGTGGTGTGCTGTGCGCGAATGGGCACTTTTTGATAGCACAACTTGGGGACAACATAGTGAGGAGCTGAAAGCGGACATAATTAGCAAATGCATGGTATGGTTACTTCAGGAAGTCTCTATCTTCAATTCATTATAAATAGAGATATATGTATATGATATATATTTTGTTTTAATTATCCAGCAAAGTTTTGTTTTATTATTCCTTGTTAATATTTCTTTTCTATTATGTGTTCTAGGAGAACTCTGATTTTAATGGTAGTTCGGAGGCTACAAAAGTCATTAATTCGCAGCTAGGTAAATCTCACAAAAATCGTAATTACAAAATGCATATGAAATACAAAAAGTTTCCATCCAAAGAAGAGGCGCAGAAACACACCCCAAGTGGTATTTCACAAAATCATTGGATCGGTCTTTGTGAAAGGTTTGAAAGCCCCCAGTTTAAGATGTGAGAGTAATTGCTCTATCTTCACTACAAGAAAAAACTAATATAAAGGCACTCTATAGTGTCTTCATAAGTAACCTATGGTGACATAAAACTTTTAAAGGCATTGACCACTTGTGTGGTATATACCCATGTCACCATAGGTCTAATGATTTATGGTGACAATTTAAAATGTCATCTAAACAAATTATTTATTTTATTATTTAATAACTTTTTTACCATTTAATCTCAGAAAATTTATTTAACTTTTTACTTTATATTAACTTTTACTATTTAACTATTTTATTATGCCATAACTTTTTTACTATGTAGTGTCATTATATCAAATTAAAGTTTTACTGCTTAACAAATATAAGTGCCATAATAAATCATTTTATAAAGGCATTTTAAAGTGCCAAGATACAATGCAACCTATTTTATAATATAAAAAAAATAAATTTGCAAATTAATAAATTTGCTATTCACGAAACTATACAAACTATAAAGACTTTAAAAGAAAAGAAAAACCATAATAAATACTTCATATTCAAGAAACATAATATATATATAATTAAATCATTTGTTCGTACATTAATCCAATGTACATAACACGAATGTAGATTAACATCTATTTACAAAAAAAATAAAAACTAAAAAAATACAACTACAAATCTAATACTTTTTTAGGCCCCTAATGATGACCAATCTCAACCCACGATTGAACTAAAACTATACATCATCCAACTAATAATAACCCATTTAACTGAAACTATGCTATTCAATCCATCTTGAGTTTCATGATGACTAAATAATGAAGGAACATTGCTAAAGTGGTGTTACCTGCAAAATGAGTGCAAAATGAGTACGTAATATAAGAGTTCACTTCATGAACATATTTGCATAATCAACTTTTGAAAGTCTTATCATACTCACCAAATAGAGTGGCCAAGCAACCAAATCACCGTGTGCATCTTGAACACTTACGTAATGATTATAACCTCGAATCAATGGCGCATCAGGAACACTAATCACTTCAATATAAACTTGACACCAATTAACTCTTATTGGAAGTCCGCTGACTTCTGCACTTGGATCAAAATCAATCTGAATAAGGCCCTCTGTAGGATCTTGGCCCCAAATTTCGAGCATCATTGTTGGTCCTCTGGTCCTCTGGTCCCTTGACACCAATTAACTCCTATTGGAAGTCCGCTGACTTCTGCACTTGGATCAAAATCAATCTGAATAAGGCCCTCTGCAGGATCTTGGCCCCAAATTTCGAGCATCATTGTTGGTCCTCTGGTCCCTTTTTCTAAAATTTACCAAGTCACTAAAATAGGTTAAAACAAAAAAGAAATAAATAGTTTACTATCTACACCTAAAAATAAAGCTAGTATTACTCTTGGAGGTATTTTTAGCTCCCCCATTTTGTGGATCATTGTTAATAGGTGTAAGCTCCCTTGTGACCTCTTCTCTTTGCTGTTGTGTATGCTCATTTGTTATTGGATTGTCCATCCTAGGGTCATCAGTTAAACCTAAAAAAAAATCCATATGTAAAGTATGTTCTCCTCCATAGAAAATACAAATCAAGTAACAAAAAATCAAAGACTTCTAATTGTTTGTGTAAATATTGATTAACTGTGAGTATGTGTCCGTAATAATGGAATGCAGTCACATAATATTTAAAGACAAGATATCATATACTCGAATGAACTATAAAGACAAACGATTTGTAGAGCTACACTACAACCAGTGAAAGAACAAATATTAGCAATCTAATTTTCTAAAAAGTAAGTGTTGCAATTTAAGCAATAATATTAATGTACTCGTCAGTCATTGTTAAGACATCATTTACTAGGCTTGACAATAACTCAAATATATGCAAAGTGCAAAGTCCCATATCAAGTCACCCATATAATAAAAGAACACAGCTCTTACAGTTATATGCTGTGCAATACGAATACGCATACATTGATAGGCAACAATTTGTCATTAAATGTCTTTTGATATACCCCTCTAGTACGAAGTAAATGCACATGTTTTATCATTTATTACCCTTGACCTCTTAATCTCAGTTTTTAAGTAAGTAGTTAATCATTTGTAATATTGTCATAGGCATGTATATACAATCCATGTCACTGGAGCATGACAGATGCTCAAAAATAACATGACAGGTGATTATACTTGAGCATTGATTTATGAACAGGTTAATTAGATTACCTGAGTTTCCACAACTTTGATTTGCTGCACTTAGTTGTTCTCGAACAGGATGTGTTTTTGATAATTGTTCCACGGAAGCAATATATATTCTTCCCCCTGATCGATTTACAGATGACGACCCTACAATATTCAAAAGAATGCAGAAATTAAATTGTATAACTAATCAACAATCTAGTATATTATCAATAAGTGAAACTTACATGTGAGTTTAGTGACTGTAGCATAATAAGCGATTTCATCATATTGATGAATTATGAACTTCTCACTCGATGCAAACTGATGTGTCATGTTCAAACTGGCCATTAAACAGTCCAAACATAGTATACAATCCATGACTTAAAGATTTAACAACATAGCATATTTCCCTGCATCATTCCCAATTTCCCCTTCCACAGATCATAATATAAAGAACACCATATCAAACATTATTTTTTTTAAAACTCTTATACAGAGAACTAGTATAGACTAAACAGTCACAAGACCATTAACAAATTCAACACTTTTAGCATGTAAGTCATAAAGTAATCAATGAAACACATTAAGATCTTTCCCCTTTTTCTTTCTTGTCATTTGTTTCGTTACCTTCAGCCATATGCCTCTCTTTCTTCATTAATCCAATGAATTGTAGTGAGTTAAGCAGCAAGCATACGTGGTATTTGGAGAAACTAGACTAGAATATGGAGGTAGTTTAGCTTAATAAGTCCTTGTTAAATGGCTAAACTACTGTTCAAAGTTAAACACGTCATAAATTTGGTTTCATCATAAAAGTAACTCAATCGAGCTTTCCGAAACACATCCTGAAAAACATATCACATTATAGTTCAAGTCGCATAAGTATTGTGGTAAAAGTAGCACAATATAAATTGAATTGTACCAACATATAGTTTTACCTTTGGTTGCAGAATTGACTCATCGTGAAAGCTAAAAGTACTTTGTTTATGTTTTTACGATGTGGCATCCATACCTACAAAATCTAATTTTATGACAAATTATAATCTGATCAACCTTGCTTATAAAATCACTTTTTTTAATAAAACTCAACGACATGATAATTTTTCCAAGATTAAAAAAAAGGAAGCTACATCCAGTCACACACTTCTCATAATTCATTCTACACCAGTGTAGAATGCTTCTGCCTTAACTGAGGCAATTGGGGAAAAAAACTAAAAAGCATTACTACAAGAATTCCCTACAGAGATTGTATTTCCAACTATGTTTGACCCTTACCTATTATACTTCACAGAAGGTTAACCTCTTTACATAAGCACAACAAAGAAAAATTGAATACCATTTGCTAGTAAAGAATAAGAAAGTAAATATTATTCGAAATTTTTTGGTGGGTTGATGGCATCTTATTTGCCAATTGACTCTAAGACTGGAACTTTCCATGATTGCTCCTCGAAAATTCAAATGACTAATACAATTGAGAAATTCTAAAATGAGAGAATAAGAATCACATCACCAAAAGGATAAAAGATCAATTTGTTGCCAGTATTAAAGACAGTAAAGTTGATTAGGGATTACCTGAATTGTATAGGTATTCTAATGAATCAAACGGCTGCGAAGAGTTCGAAATATTTGCAGCACCGAAGGGGTTGGGAGTTGATGAACCTTTTTAGTTGAAGTGATGATGATTGAAACCTTGGGATTTGGCAGATGAGGTTCCCTTTCTTCACCACCGAAGAGAACGAGATTGAAGAAGCTCTCCCACTTGGTGCTTGCTTTTTTCAATGGGGGAAATAGAAGTCAAGAAGTCTGTAGTACAACAAAGGGTGAAAATAATTTTTTTCCTCCCAAAATTAAATCTCAAGTGAGTGAAAAACTTAGTGGTGGTGTTGTGTTTAGAAGTTACAAGTAAAAAGCAAATCAGACCTTAATACTCCATTAAGACTTAAGTAAGAAAAATATTTCAGATTAAAGATAAGAAATAAATATTTTAAAAATGGAGGAGAACACTCACCTGGCTTGTTCTGACCTTGACCACATACAGTTACTGTTTAACTATCCTAGGTTCGCCTAGCTCACAAGCTAAGATACACAACTTACTGGTTAGAAAAAGTAAACAAAAAAGAGTTTAAATTCGAGGACAAATCCAGCATATCAATCCTAGGTTATTCAGCACTAGGGTGGCAGAAGCATTATATTTAAGGATCATTTATGCACAACTCGTTAATTCTTTTTGCAAGCCATTAAAACAATGATATACTATGACAAACAAAGAGAAATTTCACTGAAAGAAATCAGTAAAACAGTTCAAAAATCAGAGAATCACATCTCTCAAAACAGGGCCTCAGCTCGAATTTCCAGCTTGAAATTTTCAGATTTTGTCACATTTCAAATTGAGTTTCCGGACAAACTATGACTCCTTTTCACAAGCCACTAAAACTGACATAAACCACCTCAAACAAAGAATATATTTGTAAGAAGAGACCTTAGAAGACAACTCAAAACATAGGAGTAACTACCTCCTAAACAGGAACTCATAAGTTGGAATTTTCAGATTTTTCAGTCATGGACATGTTATGTTCAAATCATTGTTTTGGACAATTTATAACTCCGTTTTGAAATCCGTAAAAACAACAATAAACTAGACTGAACGAAGATGGCATTCATGAAAAGAAATCCTTGAAAAGTGTTAGCGAACCAAGAGAAGAAGATCCCTCAATAGAGGACATCAAATCTGATTTTCTGCATTTTCTTGAATATACTACTCAAAGTACTTTGTTTCAAACAGAATTTTCAACGATCGACATATCCATTTGACAAAACATGAAAAGCAAAACAGACCTTAGATACACCAGTAGGATATAAGTAAGAAAGATATGCATAAAAGAACCATAAAATATGGTAATCGAACCCTTTAAAAGTATCTAACCAAATCTGAATATTTTATGATTTCTTCTAGGCATTTAACCGTGCAACTAGCATGCATTCCTCCAGAATATAAATAAATCATCCACATATTTCTAATTACAGTCCTAGGCAACCAAGAACAACACACAACAAGGAGCATAAGGTTTAGCTTTCGTTTATAATTCCCTAAATGTTTCAAACTACTTCAAACTCTTTTAAGCATCGATTGTAAATTCTTGTTACCTCTTTTGGCTATCAATAAGCGTCCCAACTCACCATAGATGCTGATGCTTTGCTAGTCAAACCGAGACTCCCGACTTACCTCCTATTTCACATTCTCTCCCCCTCCATCTCTCTCGGCCTCTACCTCTTCTCTTTTCGTTCTTTCTTTTTTTTTTTCAACTTAAATGCCTCGGCCTTCTTCTTAATTGCTATACTTGATCTCTAAGATTGAGGGAGTTGAAAGAGGATGATGATCCGTAAGGAATTGAAGCAAATAAAGAAAAAATTGGGGCTGGAATTGAGGATGGATATAGCTAGTTCTCAGTTTAGTGAATGATTGATAAAAATGAAGCTGTGTGGAGAGAAACTGTCGATCTTGACTTCCAAAAAATAAAATTAATAATAATAATAAAAGGTAAAAGGAAAATGTACATGTTGCAGTGAGTTTCTCAATTTAATTGATTGTTTTACCCATTTTTACCATTATTATAATTAAGTTACATCGTGGGTGTTTGTTTTTTTATATATATATTTTTTACAAGTGCCCTTTAAGTGTGTCATTAGTGATTTTTGGTTTTTTTTTGAAGTGCCTTTTTAAGTGTATCATTAATACTTTAAAGGAATTAAAAAAAAGTTAAAATACCTTCTTTGACCATCTATTATAACATTTTATAAATAATGCCTTGATATGTCAATTCTATTAAGGCATTTTCCTAATAATGCCTCAATTCCTATGTCATCTTATGTCATTTTTCTTGTAGTGCTTTTATCTTGTGGACTGTAGAATTAAAGTAATTTGTTAATGATTAACCATTTTATGTGCTTGTGGCCTTTGGATGTCCAGATACTTAGCAAGAGAAATCAGGAAAATCGTGCAAAAAATAAAACTCCACATGCCACCGGATCACATTCTGCTGCAAGAAGAGCTCATGAACTTAAGTACTCAAAACTTTTAAGTTTCACTTGATTAAATATCATTCAATTGGTACTTATCCTAAATTAGATATGTAATATGGTTGTTGGCATATGTTAGGTAAAGGACAGAGAAGACGTGAATGCTATTGACATTTATCGGCTTTCCCATTTTTGTGAAAAGACAGGAAAATGGGTTAATGGAGAAGCTGAGAAAATTTGGGAATTACAGCTGATTTGGGAATTATAAGTAACTTGTATATGAACTTCTTATGTAGAACGAGATGAGTGCTGAACTCACTAGAACCAACGGTTGTGCATTTGCTATTTGCTTTCAAAAGCTGAAATATGTTCCCGAGGTTCCAAATTATGAGTCTTCATCAAAGAGGGCAGTAGCTGATGAAGAACTTCAGTTTGAACTTGAAGCCCAACGCAAGAGAGCTGAAGAAGCTGAGGCAAGATATGCCGATATAGCCGCTAGTAATGCTGCCCAACAAAAAGAACTGAATGAGATGAATGCGCGTCAAGCAATCATTGAGAAAGATCTTGCTATGTTGAGGAATCAGAGGTACAATGATAATGTAAGAAATTTTTCCATATTATGGCGATTTGATTTCATTTTTTTTCTCTTAAGGATTGATTAATTGTGATCATCTCTTGGCTGTTCTCTTCATGATTTTTAAAAGTAGGCTGCCATTTCATGTGTTGACATGCACTCGTATTTGTTTTAGAAGGGTAGAAATATCAAGGAGCTAATGTAATAGAATTGAGTTGTAATCCTTCATATTGTAGTGCATAGATCCTTTGTGAGTTAACATAATGAAACTAGGGGGATGATGGACAGATTGTTTCAAACTAATGACTTGTTTTTGTTTGACAGTGACTCTCATTGCTAGGGGTACACAGGAGGAGGTTGAAGTGTTAATGAAGCCATGTTCTGGAAGTGTATAATCAAACCATGGACTAACTTTTGAACTTTTGTTGGGTTAAGTACTTTAGTGAATGTATGTTTATCTACTTTTGCTATCAAAGCCATGGACCAACTTTAGATACTTTTGTTGGGATACGAACTTTAGTGCTTCCCTAATTTTGCTAATGATGCCATGGTTGGATTAGGTTTGTAATTTTGTACTTAGACTTGGATCATGTAATTAGACGTACGGTTATAATGCTATGATATAAGTTTCTGGCAACTACATGCATCCATCATCACTAAATTAAATGGTAGCAAAAGCACAATTTACTTTGTACCTTCCAATGTAGCATTTTTTTTTTCAATTTTGGTCTTTTTAACAGTTGGCGAAAACCTCTTCAAATTTAAGCTAATCCTAAATGCTATAGAAATGAGAAAAGCTAGCAAACGAGAAAAGTTAAAGTTTATATACCAAAAGTGAACTTGATTGATAAACTAATCTAATTGGAATCGGATGAACGTTTAAGCCATCGGTTTGAATTGGAATAGTATTACAAATCATATGATTAATTAAGCAATAGAATTGGATGAAAAGTTCAATTATCGGTTTGATTCACTTAATCCAATCAATGTAACAAATAATATGATTGATTATGTAATAGAATCGGATGAGAAGTTCAATAATTGGTCTGATTAACCTAATCCAATCGGATGAACGGTAAAACCATCAGCTTGAATTGAGATCAATATAAGAAATCACATGATTAATTATGTAATCGAATCGGATAAATGGTTTGATCATTGGTTTATTGATTAAAAAAAACAATTATAGTTTATTTGCATTCCAACACCTTTATTTTTCATAATTATAGTGTGCCACCCTAATTTTTATAAAGAAAACTACAATCGTTCATGAATTACTAAGTTCACGCGTTCTATAGTAAAGAAAATAAATATAGATTATGCATAGTGAAGAATTGAGATGTTCACATTAATACACGTTATTTTCAAAAATGTAGTTTTGGTACATGAGCCTTAATTTATGAATAAATTATCTTTGCAGTTATGAATTTCTTATATTTGCATTGTCACAACTAAATGACATAGTATTATAAAATATCTTTGTGAAATCAAAGATTCCCATGATTAGTAAAATGTACACAGTATTAAACAACACATAATTATTGATGAAAATAGTCTAGTTGATTACTTTATAGCACTTATGATCTCAAGACAATACTATCATTTAGTTATTTATTTGATAGTTAACGTGGTCGTTTCTATTTCTAAAACTAATTATAGGACGTTTGTACATAGTGTAACTTTAAGTTTGTATTAGAGTGATGATATACATCTTATCTAATTTATTTCACTTTTTCATCTCACCCTACATGGCATTTAATTATTGGATAAAATTTAATAAGTTAATTAATTATTAGATAAAATCTTATAATTTGATTTAATTATTTTTTGGTTAGGTTTATATACTTTTTGAATATTTTTATATCTAAAATTTTAAATCAAATAGACCCTAACCTCGGAAAAATAAATCCTTTTGGGTAATAATAATGTAAAATGTTATCACTAGGACTAATATTAATAAGAAATATAATAATTTTTGGATTAATTTATTTAGATGAAATGTAAGAAATGCAGTGCCCAATCAATAAATGCCATGTAAGGTGAGATGGAATAGTGAGATGAATATCATTACTTTTTGTATTAAGCATTTCATTTAGCGTGACTTCTATTACAATTTAGTTCTAGAATATATTTTTAACCAACAACACATTTCTTTCATGTAATTACACCTTGATTAACGAAAAAGTTATCGCTAAAATAATTAATGTATGCTCTATGACACATTAATAATTGGATACAAGAGTTTCCAAGTGTAATTATGCTTGCACCAAGAAAAAAAAAATTTCCAAATAAATAATAAGAGAATTAAAGTAACAAGTTATGAGTTTTCTTATTTAAAGTGTGCCAATCAATAAATAAGCCACAAAAAAATACTACCCCTCTATTTCATTTTTGTTTGTTTATATTTTTGAAACAGTCAATTTCCCTCACGTGGGGTAAGAAAATGGAACACTTTGATGGAAATTTCTCAAAATAGGGGGAAGCAATTGGGAGAAAATTTCATCGCTCAAAATTTGGGACACCCTTATTCTCTCTTATTTGCTAAAAATAGAGCTCAATCAATTTTGTTTTATCCTTAATTATCTTCCTTCGATACATTTGAACAATAAGCGGCTGGTTTCGGTGGAGATTTTCAAGCGGCAAATTTCGGGGAGTGCCACAAGTTAGAGCGTTGCTTTTCAATCGGTGGGTTTGGGCGGAGCTTTTCAATCAGTGGGTTCGAGCGGAGCTTTTCAAGCGGTTGGTTCTGTGGAGGTTCTCCAACTATCAGATCTGCAGATTTTAGGGGAAAAAATTAACTGAACAAATCAATTCATTGTCACAGGTAAGTCATTGCAGCCCTAATTAGCTCATGAATCAGTCCATTGTTTTTTTTTGGCATGCCCCTACAGTTGAGTTGGGAATTCTTGGAACCTAATGCTAAAAATTTGTTGGTTTGGTCGAACTGGTTGGGCCTTGTTGTTTAATGTATATTTATATATAAATTTTTTTGTCTATGAGTAAATGGATACCATGTAGAATGAACCTTAACGACTTTTGTACACTGCAAGTCGTCAATATTATTTTGCATATGGCAATAAAGAAACAAAGAATATCATTTTTTGCAGTATTAGATGAATTTTACGTGTGTTAATACCTACTAAGTTGCAGCCAACTGTATTTAATTTTAGTTTAATCCCTTTGAGCTTGTTGAGTTTGCAATTTGTTAATCTACTTGTCCTTCTATGAGTAATATATTTCCCTACTCTTTTGGTATTTGTTATTCTTAGGTAATTATATATGGATAAGTCATGGATGAACATTGTCCATAGAACAACAGATAAAAGATTTAAATTGGGGTTGGAAGAGTTTCTAAGATTCGGATATCATAACAAAGACAAATTGGAGAAAATCCCTTGTCCTTGTAGGAAATGCAACAACTTTCAGTTTCATGGTAGAGATGATGTGTTCATTCATGTGATGAATTTTGGGATGTCAGTGAATTATCGAGTGTGGATACATCATGGAGAGTCTTATGATGAAGTTTCCGCTAATAATGACTTTTCAAGTGGTAATGATGATGATGACGGTGATCTTTATGATATGTTGCATGATATTGGTAAGAGTAATTGGGGTGAAGATTCACAAACAGGGGAGGGATTGCCCAATACTTGTGACGTTCATGTAGACACACTTTGTAGATTATTTGATGACAATCAACAAAATCTTTATGATGGGTGTGAAAGCTTTACAAAATTTTTCTTCCTTGTTACCTTTATGCATTTAAACACTAGTAGTGGTTGGACAACAAAATCCTTTGATGCTTTACTTGATGTATTGAAAAAAGCATTGTCAAGTAGTGCATCAATTCCAAAGAACTTTTATGAAGGGAAAAAGTACATTAGAGATTTGGGATTTACAGGGGAAAAGATTCATGCATGCATTAATGATTGTGTTCTTTTTCGCAATGAATATGCCTCTCTCACTAAATGTCCGAACCCCAATTGTGGAGAACCTCGATATAAGCATGATTCAAAAATTTCGGTTAAGGTTCTTTGGTTCTTTCTTATGATACCAAGGCTGCAACGGTTATTTATCAACGAGGAAGTAGCTCGTGACATGAGGTGGCATAAGGAGAGGAGAAAAGATGGTGGTAATGTTCTTAATCATCCAGCGGATAGTGAAGATTGGAAATACCTTGACAACAAATTTCTATCATTTAACAATGACCCTCGGAGTGTACGGTTAGGCCTTACAACTGACGGAGTAAGTAATTCATATAGCATATGGCCAGTCTTTCTTGTTCCATGCAATCTACCTCCTTGGAAGTGCATGAAAGATTCTTTCTTCTTCATGTCAATGTTGATTCCAGGGCCAAATTCACCTGGAAAGTAAATTGATGTGTACTTGCAACCATTAATCGATGAATTAAATGAGTTATGGGTTGGGGTGGAGGCCTATGACTCTTACAAGCAAGAAAAGTTTTGCCTCCGTGCTGCTCTTTTGTGGACTATAAATGATTTTCCAGCATATAGTATGCTATCTGGCAGGAGTTTTAAGGGTTATAAAGGTTGCCCAATATGTATGGATGAGACATCCTCCAAGTATCTGCGTAATACTCACAAAACTTGTTTTATGGGTCATCGTAGGTTTTTGTCATTATCTCATCCTTAGCGAAGAGACAAAAAGAATTTTGATGGAAATGTTGAACACTGGGAAGCAATCACACCGAAGTCCGGCCATGAAATTTTAAATGAGGTCTCGTCTCTCTTTGGTGATTCAAATGGATTTGATAATTTGTTGATGTCCAATGGTCGGAAGAAATGAAAACGAGGCAAGCGGGGGCATAAGAGGAGGGGCAAGCAAGGTGGCATCCAAGGTGGTAAGTCATAGAACAAAAATCTACCATGGCACAAAAAGAGTGTGTTCTTCAAACTTCCTTATTGGGTGGAGCTTAAGTTGAGACATAACTTGGACCTAATGCATGTTATAAAAAATGTGACAAAGAGTTTGCTTGCAACCATATTTGACATTAAGAGAAAGACAAAGGATACTTGGAAATCTCGGAAAGATTTGATGGATGAAGGATTAAAGCACACTTTGCATTTGCAGACATATAATGGTTCATTCATCATGCCAATGGCTAGTTACCATCTCACAAAAGATGAAAAGGATAAAATACTCTATTTCATAGAG